AGTGCTTGGAAACGAACCACACGCACCGAAAACAAACAGTTTTGCGATACAACAACGGGCGGATCCTACCCTCACTAAATGCTTTTCTAGGGCAGAAGTAACCGGTGTTAGAACATGTAAGCAAGGTACATGGCATTTTTATGTGAAGAATGGAATTTTAATGAGATATTTTAAATCACCTGTTATGCAATGTAAACAATTAGTCGTTCCTTTATGTTATAGAACCGATGTTCTGAGAGTTGCACATGACACACCTTTTGCTGCACATTTAGGTATAGGTAAAACACAGAAAAGAGTTCTTGCACAATTCTATTGGCCTGGTTGTTCCACAGATATTAGGAAATACTGTAGGTCATGTAAAGACTGTCAAATGATGGCGAGAAAGGATGCATCTCAGAAACCTCCCATTCAAAGGGTCTATCTTCCATGTCGTCCTTTCGAAAAAGTTGCTGTCGATCTTGTGGGTCCGCTACCGGTTGTTTCACAAAGAGGATTTAGATACATTTTAACATTTGTAGACATGGCATCACGTTGGGTTGAAGCAGTACCGTTACGTCATATCACTACTGAGTCAGTAGCAGAAGCATTGATGCTTATATTCTCTAGAGTAGGCTTTCCTGAAACAATCCTATCAGATCACGGATCACAATTTATTTCAGAAGCAATGCGCTCTTTTGACAAATTACTTGCCATCTCTCACGTTTTTTCTGCAAGATATCACCCACAATCAAATGGGCTAGTAGAAAATTTAAATGGGAAAATAAAGGCTATGCTAGCCAAAGTTACTAATCAATTTCCAGCAGACTGGGACAAATACCTTCCTGCTGTTTTGTTCGCCTATCGTGAGGTGCCCCAGAGCAGTACAGGTTTCTCACCTTTCGAACTTATATATGGTGCTAATCCCAGAGGTCCACTGTCGCTGTTAAAGGACATATGGATCGGTAAAGGCGATCAAGAAGCGCCTCAAACATATATTAAATTCGTGACGGAGTTACGTAACAAGATAATCACAGGTTGTCAAGTTGCACGGGACAACTTGGAAAATACTGGTACTCATCAAAGAGAATACGTTAACCGTAACCGGAGACTAATCACTCTCCAGCCTAATGATGATGTATTGATATTTCTGCAAGATAATAATAATTGTTTATTAGCCAAATGGCAGGGTCCTTTTAAAGTTATTAAGAAAATTTCAGATGTGGACTATCTTATTGATGTCAGAGGACATCATAAAGTATATAATCTAAACATGCTTAAAGAGTTTAAGTCTCGCCCTGGTGTTTTGTCTGAAGTGTTAGAAGCAGCTGAGGCACCCGACAATAATTTGCAAGAAGAAGAAATGGAGGCAGCATTCTGCCACGTCATTGACGAAGAGAGCAATGATGTCGAGGTGGACACTGCTCATCAATTGTCTCTACCCGAACTGGTACCCAGAGAAACATGGAGAGACGTGGAAGTCGCGCCCTCGGTTCCACCAGATATGGTGCGTCGTATAAAGCGTATTTTGGCTACATTCGACAAAACATTATCGGACATACCGGGTAGAACGACAGAAGCAGTGCATTCCATTGAATTAATAGATCATAAACCCATCAAAATGAAACCATATGTTATACCTTTTCATTATCGGGATGCAGTAGATAAGGAAATCGATAACATGATTAAGTGGGGTATAATAGAACCGTCGACATCACCCTATGCTTTTCCTATAGTGGTTGTCCGAAAGAAAGATGGAAGCCTTCGGATCTGCATAGATTTCCGAAAATTGAATCGAATCACGGTTGTAGATGCTGAAAATATCCCAAATATGGAAGATATGTTTGTTGCATTGTCGAAGGCTAGGTATTTTACAAAGTTAGATCTTACCAAGGGTTATTGGCAGATTCCCTTAGCCGAGGATTCAAAAAAATACACCGCGTTTCAGACGAACAAAGGTTTGGTTCACTTCAACTATATGGTCTTCGGGCTTTCGGGAGCACCGGCGACGTTCACCCGCCTCGTACGCAAGTTTGTTACAGGGTCGTAATGATGTTATTCATTATCTGGATGACATTCTGCTTTTCCATAATGATTTAGACGAACATATTCGAGGTCTAAAGACATTACTGGAACGCATAAAATCGTTTAATCTGACAGTTAGACCAACTAAAGTGAAGGTCGCTTTCGAGGAGGTCACGTTCCTCGGTCACGTTGTAGGACACGGGGTCCGTAAACCCGAAGCCACCACGGTGGGTAAGATTCTTAACATCCCTATACCAAAAACGAAGAAACAAGTGCGTGCGTTATTGGGTTTATGTAACTTTTATGCCAAATTCATTCCTAACTATTCAACCATTACAGCCGTGTTGTCCTCATTGACGATGAAAGGAATGCCAGCGAAGGTTATCTGGACGAGAGAGTGCGAGGACGCGCTCCAGAGATTACAAAAGGCATTTAATAGTAATCCGTTCTTGTGTTTGCCAGATTTGTCTCTGCCGTTTTATGTATCCACAGATGCGTCCGATGTGGCGATTGGTGGGACGTTGTTGCAATCCAGAGAGGGCACCCTACTCCCTGTTGTTTATGCCAGCAGGAAGCTGTCTCCTACTGAATGCCGTTACAGCGTGGGCGAGAGGGAGGCACTAGCCATTTTTTGGGCAGTAGGGAAGTTTACCCAATTCCTGTATGGCAGTCACTTCTTTGTCTTGACAGACCATCGTCCACTCGAAGTCTTGAACTCAGCACCCATCAAAAACTCACGCATATTAAGATGGACAATGTTTCTACAGACGTTCAACTTCACAGTTATTTATCGCCCAGGGAAAGAAAATGTCTTAGCCGATTTTTTGTCGCGCACCCCAGAGGCATTGGAAGACGCTTGATGTTTATTTGTTGAATTTACATGATATTTAAAATGCATGATGTTATGAAAAATAATTTGGATAACAATAATGTTGTTGATAATAATGCTTAGTGAAGTCAGGAATCTATATTTTGCATGCATTTAGTAATGTATTGACGATATATTGAGGAGTGAGCGTGTGTGTTTTCAAGTGTTCTTATTTGCTCTCTAGTACTGGTGCTGTTTGCCGCGACATGAATCCAGTTTTCCGACCGAGACTACGACAAGTCCTAGTGCTCGGTCGTCCTCGGGAGGGGGGAAAAGCTGTCGCGTGCGAATGTGCACCAGAACGCACCAGTACGGAGTGAGCAAATAAGACGTCAAAACAATACGTAACGTTGTTATGATATTGTTGTTGTCAAAAAGCAGTTGATGTTTATAGTCCGAAGGAGACGGACGTGGGAATCCTTGAGGACGCTTTACCCCGGGATCCCACGGAAGCAAACGTTATATGAAGTTGAAGTTGGATCCTTGAGGACGTTTTACCCCGGGACTCCAAGACCTCAGCAGGAAGCTGGTAAACGTTACATTTTCGGCAGTATGCCGGTATACTTTCATTGCTTAATTCGGACTTGTCCGAGGACCAAGATGATTGTCATGATCTCAAGGTCGGACTGCGACCTATCGTGAGGACATATCATTACATGGATGTACGAGCGAGCTTTGGTTGAACGAGTTGATTATTACTTGCATATGTATTCTTGAAATTAATCATTGCATTGCATTTGTCAATACACAAATGGAACTTTTAAAGAGAGTTCTTGTTCTACTACGGAAGCTTCAGCATTCATTACTCTTGGCCAGTGGCATGTTAAGTGTTGATGCCACTTGTTAACTTCTGACACCCCTAGTCACTTTTAACACACGCCACAATGAAGCACCGCACGTAACACAGGAGAATGTGAGATTGTTAGACTGGATGGAAGTCTGTAAGGCTGCAAACCTGCACGATGTCATCCTCTGCCCTACCCAGCCATGATTTGTCTCTTGCCTATTGCCCTTTTTCTTGAAGAGCATGTGGTGCAAAGGGTGCTTCTGAGCTTATCTTGAGATATGCACGAGCCATCCAGATCTTGATCCTGTAGTTCATGGTAGGGAAGTCAAGAAGGTACCTCACAGCTACACAAGAGGTGTCTCCATTGCACCCTAGAATAAAGCGCATTGCTTCATTTTGCACCTTCTCAAGTCTTTCGATCTGAGTAGGCTGACAGTGAGGATGGCAAGAGCATATTTGATGGGAGAAAGTACAAGTCCCTGGAACAGAAGCAAAAGCAGTCTCTGCTCAGTGCTAGTGGCAGCCAGGACCCCCACTACTGACAGGCCTTTGCCTGTTCTTTGAAGGATAGGCTGCGATCAAATCAGCAAATGACAAGGTCCTGCTACTCCCGTGCAAATGCTGCTCAGTTATCAGCACTGTGTACATGTTGAATAGCACTGGAGACAGCAGAGAACCTTGAGACAATCCTGGGCTGATGGTTATCGGTTCTGAAGACCAACAATCACACCTGAGTATCACCCTTCTCTGAAACAGGGAGATATTTGCAGTTGGAGGAGTATGTGCACCAAGTATTCAAATGGTACTGTTGCAGTGCCAATGTAAATCCATCTCTGTTATGGTTGTTTGGTAAAGAATCTCGATTGATGTAAATTATGAAGCAAAGATAACTGATAAGTTTACAATGCTGTTTATACTTGCTTTTTTATCATTCTTTTTCTCAGACTGTGAACATGATTTATCTAGCCTGGTTGACTTAATAACAACAAGGAAGCATACAAATCAAGCCTCTGACCTAAAAACTAAAGTACAAAACTAAGGTAAGGATTCTGAAATGGAAATTTAGCAGCCTAATCAGTCTGTCTGTCACTGTAAAATCTCAAATGGTGCAGCTAAAAAGTTGCATACTGTGTCAAAAAATGAAACACAAATTCAATATCTCCACCTTACCTAAGAACATTCTGGCTTAAGATGGTCTGATGAGCCATCTTCACCCAAATTCTAGCAATGATACTCAACAGTCTGCTGCCTTTTAACAAAGATGAACCAATAAAATGATTTGGATGATGAGCCTGTAAAATAAAAATGGCATATAAAAAATAACACCCACAATATGCAACTTACCGAATGCCAGTGTCCATCATTCAGTGCCTTTGTAAACACTATCGTGTAGGGTACCTCATCATACCTATAGGCAACCTCAAGTCTCCTGTTGTGAAGCTGGATACCAAAATAAAATGACCTGTCCTTGTTTACAAGGTAGCCAAAGAGACCATCAGGGTAGAACGTGCGGAAGTCGAAAGAAAAATTGAAACTGTGGATGAAAACAAACGTTTAACTTATCTTTTCAAATATGTGCCTATTGTTTGAAGAACTGGCATTGCCACACTACTGATAAAACTAGTGTTGCTTCGTCCATAAGGGAGGTATGTTAATTTTAACAAAAGTTCACAATTTGCATGCATGGTTTTTCTATTCTGTATTTGGTTAATTCAGCTGTTTTCTTACAGTTCAATTTTCTAAAATAAAGTATATAAAGCAAAGTACTTGTGGGTCCCACTTTAAGAATCGACTAAAAAAATTAACCTAGAGCAACTAACCATTTTTTTTAAAAGGTGCCATCTCCACAATGGAAGTTGGAAATGATTTTAAATGGAACTTACCTAATATGTTCATTATACTTAGCAAGTGCCTTGGCAAGTGATGTGGGAGATCATGCCCCTCCACAATCTGGCATCTTCAACAGCATGTATCTGTTTGTGCACTAATTTACCTTGAAAAAAGACTGTCAAGAATCTTTTTTGTGTTCTCTTCCTCCATCTCTCTCTACAAATCTTTCCTTCCCGTGGTCACAACATGCACAAGTTTCCCTCTTCTCATAAAATGACCAAATAAAAATGACTTTCTATTTCTTATGCTTTTGATACAATGTATTTGATAAAATGCTCATGAAGTCTTTAAATGCAAAATAAAATTAATTAATGCTCACTTTCTGGCAACATCTTCTGTTCGAACTTTGGTAATATCTGCAAAGAAAGTTAGGCTGTTTGCAACTGACTTGGCATCTACTTCAAACGCAAGGACTTTTTCACTTGCACATGCCTGTGGATCATCGGCTGCAGGAGTGTCTGCAGCTGGCAGCAGAGTTGTGATTGTAGGCTCATTATCATCCCTAGGTGCAACAACAGGTAAGTTTTGTTTGGCATCCAAGTGGCATCGACCAACATCTGCTCTCTTATACTGTATGGCATCACTCATAGAAAGCAACCTGGAATAACAAACAAAATCTTCAGACTGTTTCAAGAAACAAATGGTCAGACATATTAGGACATCTGAAATCTACATCTTACTATATTGGATGTTGAATTAGGAATCAACATCTTTGCACTCAGAACACTCAATAAGCGCTCCATCCCCATCTTCAGCAGCAAGCAAAGAGTTCCAATTCTGATGACATTGATTTGGCTTTTGTTACCCAGCTAGCAAGATGAGGGCTCTTAGAACACGCAGAACTTTTAAGTATGAGACAGACAGTACCCTTCTTGGACACCTCTGACAGAAGGTATATAGCAGAACCACCTCCTCTGCTTTTTTTGCAGCCTCCATGGTGGACCCAAGAAGTAGAATAGGCATGGAGAGCAAAGTGAGCAGTAGTTAAGAAATTACAGAAAGTGGGAAAGGCACCTCACAGGATACTATAGGATGTAGAGAGGCTAGAAATGGTTAGAAAAGACAAAATAGAAAAGTTCAAGCAGTGTGCAGCAGATGCAAAAAAGGCTAAATGGGAACATTTTATGAGCCAAAATGGAGGGGATTAATCACTGAGTAGGTTTTGAAACTTCACAGACAGATGCAAAGGAAAGATCGGTTGTCACTCCAAAGTACTTCTAATTATTGTTTCCATGAGAAGCTAGTTATATTGTCTCCTATCTCAGCCTCAAAGACGGCATAGACGTGCTTCCCATGTCACGTAACTGTGTTAGTGTCTGGGATTCCTCATTATCCACTAGCCCAGTCCATACGGACTGCTCTGTCCGTGCTTCTTCCCACACACCTTAGTGCAATGCTTGCCAGTTGCTCCACTCGCTCATTTCCCTTTACGCCCGCAGGACGAGGTGTGTAGATCCAGGTGAGAGAGGTTAAGTGCAATTTTTGAATGCTTTCTACACATTCAGAGTGCACACCGCCTGTTGCTAATGAGAATGATAAGCCAATGACAACAAAGAGAAAGGGGAAGTTTTTTTGGAGAGATTTATATTCCAAACTGATCAATGATATGGAGCTTAGAAATTCAGTTAGAGTTAATCTGTCCAATACTATAAATGATAACTATTTTCAGGATATCATTAGGGTGGAGGATATAAAATAAAAAAATAAAAGACACTGCGCTGGGGCCAAACGAAGTCAGGTATGTCCATATGAAGAGCATGATGAAGACCTAAGGCAGATAATGTTTCATTTCAACCAGAGCATCAGAACAGCTTCAGTACCCCAGGATTCGGTACACAGCCACCTAATCCCTATTCCAAAACCAGGCAAAGATCATTCCAGACTCAGCGGCTTCAGGATTATCACTCTATAAAATACTTTTGGCAAAGTGCTTGGGAAGATCATTGCTGTTAAACTACAAATGTTTTTGGAAAGGGAAGAGCTGTTGCCAAAAGGTTTGGGTAGTTACGGGCCACAAAAGATACCTGGTCAAATGCAGTTACTTTTGCTTTCGATGTTTATGAGGGCTTCCAGAACAGACAGAAGACTGTTGTGGCAGCACTTGATCTTTAGGATGCCTACAATGGAGTCAGATATGATATTTTGCTATCTGCACTCATGTAGAAGGGGGTTTATACCTGGCTTGTGAACTATATAGCAGCTGTCCTGCATTCAAGTATGGTTGCCCTTCACCTGTGTACACAGACCTCAGAACCGTGTAATATCGCCCCAGGACAACCCCAGGGTTCTGCAATTTCACCAGTGCTCTTCAATATGTATACAAGCAAGATTGCATAACTTGAAGCACCAGGAGTTGGAAGGGTACTGACATTTGCTGATAATGTCCTTGCTTACAACAGGGAAAATGGGCAACGGTTAGCCCAAGAGCTACAGGCAACAGTAGATAAAGTGACTGACTGGTGTTCAGAAATGGATGCTGTCATAAACTCAGAAAAGGCAGCTGTTTTGTGGTGCTCCCTGGACAACCGAACTGTAAGAGTTAATGTTCTAAGTCTCACAATTAAGAACATTAAAATCAAAAGAGAAAGCAAACCGAGGTACCTGGGTATCAATTTTGATAGAAGCTTTCAGGGATCATGTGGAGGCAGTTGCAGTGAAATGCCAAAACAGACTCAATGCTCTCAAGATTATGGCAGCAATGGACATGGAACAAATACATCTTACTAGAAATACAAAAGATGCTATAGCCACTGAAACTTTTTACTTCATCAAATTTTTCTTTTATATATATTATTTATATATTTTTGTTTTGGGATATTGTTGCATTCTGACTGTTTAAAGAAGAGCATTTTTTTGGTATATATATATATACGTATGTACTGTAACCAATTTATCGTGCCTGACTACTTCCATCAACGAAAAACTGAATTTCTGGTGGTAATTGTAGGCTTTGGCATCTCTAGCAACTGAAATAAGCATTGACTGCATGCACATATTTCTGCATTGTTCCGGGACTAGTTGTTTGTTCACCAGTTTTTTTTAATGCGAGGGACATTTCATTTGATTCACACTGGCATAGGAATGGAGCAAGGATGGGGAAACCTGATTGTGGTGATGTTAAAACCTTGACTAAGCCTAAGACTAAGATTTAGCAAAAAAGACTTATAGTTAAAATGTTTTCAAATAGACACAAATTAGTATCTCTGTGTGTGCGCGTGCGTGTGTGTGCGTGCATGATTGTGTGTGCATGTATAAAACATTTTCTATTTGTTCTGAAAGTAAACATGAAAAATATGGATATGTGAACATTTGATACAAATACATATCATCCGGCAGCTGCTATGGCATAGTTCTTAGTGTGCTTAAAAGTCACAAAACAGTGATCAACATTCAATGGAATGTCGGAGGCATGAGCAATCAAGTAGTTTCCAAAGCTGACCCACCTCACAAAATTGGCATCAGATAATTTTTAAAATGATCTGAGACAGAGGACAGAAACAGGCCATCCCAGCTCATATACAGGGGCCTACAATATGCATAAGTCTAACACTTGACACTCCAATAAGTCTAACACTTGACACTCCAATAAGTCTAACACTTGACACTCCAATAAGTCTAACACTTGACACTCCAATAAGTCTAACACATGACACTCCAAAAAGTCTAACACTTGACACTCCAATAAGTCTAACACTTGACACTCCGATAAGTCTAACACTTGACACTCCAATAAGTCTAACACTTGACACTCCAAAAAGTCTAACACTTGACACTCCAATAAGTCTAACACTTGACACTCCAATAAGTCTAACACTTGACACTCTAATAAGTCTAACACTTGACACTCCGATAAGTCTAACACTTGACACTCCAATAAGTCTAACACTTGACACTCCAATAAGTCTAACACTTGACACTCCGATAAGTCTAACACTTGACACTCCGATAAGTCTAACACTTGACACTCCAATGACAGTATCTGCTGTGGGTCTTCCTGTATATATCATCTGGTCTAAAATCGACTGTGAAGTCAATTAATGGGATGCATTGAGTATCAGTGCTTTTCTAATAGAAACTTAACATTACTGCTGCATTACAGAAAAGTTCCTGGCTAATAAAGTGCAGTTTTACATTAAAGTCATAAATCTACATAGATAAAATCCTTTTCCTGGCAACAACAAATAATATTTTATTCTTTATCAAGAAAGAAAAAAACAGGAAATTAGTGGATAATAAATGTCTTAATAAAGCATTTGATTGTACATGTAGGAAGTAGAAGATTATGGTAATTAAAAAGTAATAAGTTTTTTAAATATCACATATATCACTATGACAATAATTTATTTACAGATGTTCATACAGATAGTTTTATTTTTGAATGACATTTTAAAACATTACTATTCTTCAGACTGCATCAGTTGACAATGATGATATAGAAACAAAAATCCCTTAACCTTGTCATACTGGCAGCTCATCTAGGGGGAGGAAAACTCAGATTTCAAACCTCGGCCAAATAAGGCTCATCAGCACTGGAGTGAAGTTCATCCAGGAGATAGAGAACTCTGATCTCAATCCTCCACTGCCCTGTGGCAAATTGCTTTGAGGTAAACCCTTGGGAAAAATCCAGAGCTGGAATCCCTAAGGCAGTTCAACATTGTTTACACTGCTGCTCTGACAATTCCTGCAATGTCTATGGTGCCAAGCTGTATTGGCACTTGCCTTTCCCTTGGTTTTACTGGAAATGTAGACAGGGAGCACCTGCTGCCTGGGTAGCACCTGTATTGCAATTCAACATGCCAAAACCTGTACCCTGGTGAGATTACTGGAGTGTCGCTTAACAGCTTTAACACAATACAGAAAGCATCACATAACAGACACTGTTGCCAAAATCAGTGGCACAGCTCCATGGTCCCGAGGGACTGACAGCTGTCTACTAAAATCTGGCATTACCATCTGCTACTCATCCCTGCTGAAAAGGTCAAATCAAGAGGATTAACTTAATTGCACTGGATTTTGTCCCATAAGGCTTAGTCTTCTTCAGCAGAATGACTAGCTGCCTGCCGAGAGCATTGCACAAAGCACAAAATCCATAACTCTGGCGACGATCTAAGAATCTCAGTAAAAATTGCACTTGTGAAATGAATGATACAGTCGTGAAACAAACCCACAACCTTCAGAGCATGAGGCAAACGGCTTGACCACTTTGCCATGGAGACCCTCTATCAACTATTATTCCTATTAAGCCACTAAACTGGCAATGCTGCTTGGTCTAATTAACAGCATTGGTTCTGCTTGCACATGCAAAGTGCTTAGGAGCCTTGGATTTGATTATATTTACTTATAAAACATTAGAGTGTTACTGTGAACAAAATAGCCCTTTTAGCTTTGGTGATGTCATAATTCCCCTTCAGTCTTTAGTAATCTGGGACAAAGGTAATGATGTGAGTCAGTATATGATTATTTTTTTTAGGCCAATCGAAAAGACAATATTTAATTCTCAGCTTCACTAAATAATATTATACAAAACAAAATTTTTTTTTCAATGTATGTAAACAAATTGTAATGTGTTAATGACTTACACTAAAAAAAAATATTTCTGAATTTTTAGACATTTTTGTTAAGGGTACCATAGCAATATGATTAGTAAAGACATAAAATAATTACTTACACTCCATTAACGATGACATCACTGATACAGCCATCCATATTCTTGCCTGCTGCAGCAACATGACCACCAGCAGTGGGAATTCCTCCCAGGTAGAGGTTACCAGCTTTGTTGAAGTTGACACTTTGAACTTCTGTGCTGCCTATGACTTCATCATCAACAACCAACTCCAGACTGAGTAAAAGGAACAATAAAATAAGACAATCTTAGTAAGAAAAAACATTATAAATAATCAAGTGTCAGGTTTTCTTTTTGAAATTATATGGTACAGAAACATGAACAATTAGGAAATGTGAAGATAAAACTTTATTTTTGTTTTGTTTATGTCGTTATCAGTATTATCATCATCAAGTGCCTTGCTGAGAGGCATGTGTGATCATGCCTCTCGACAATCTTTAACAGCATGTATCAGTTCATGTACTGGCACCCCTCCATGTCATGACAAACAGTTGTCAAAAGTCTTCTCATACTGTCTTCCTCTGTCTCTTTTTTCCCCCACATATCTTTCCAATGGTAACAGCATGTTCCAGTTTCCTTCTTCTCTAAATATTAGCAAAAATTTATGTCTGTCTCTTTCTGATGTTTGTGATAAGTTGTCTATAAACCCTCGCCTCTTGTAAAACATCTTGTTTGCTATTTTTGATTGTCCAAGGAATTATAATTCTTCTTCTGTAAAACAAAACTACTGAGGCCTCAAAAAATTGTTTAGCTTTTCTATTTATTCTCCAGGATTCACAGCCGTATGTTAAAACTGGCTCTGTATAGCATGTAATAGTTTGTTTTTTTCAACCTCCAGGGACATTGATTTATTGCATGAAATGTTTTTCATTTTATAAAATGTAGTTTTAGCCTGTCCTCTTCTGTTCTTTATCTCTATGATGCATCTTCTACTAGATGTGCCTTGATACTTCAATTTCTGTACTGGTCATAAACTAATGCTTTTGACCTATATTAAACATTTAGGCACTTTTCTTTTCTTTGATATTTCCATTATTTCGTCTTCCCATTTTTCAGGCTATCCCTTTCTACAACTACTATATCTATCAATCTATGTAGTTCTTTCTGACTTATTACTATCAAAACAGTGTCATCAGCATAAGGTATGTTGATACATTGTTGTTTTATGTGTGTGCGCGCACTGCGCACATGTGCCGGTATGCATGCACGCACATGCACGCACGCAACACACACACACACAGATGAACAAAAGGACTATCTAAACAAGAGGGGGAAAAAATAAAGAAATGATACAAAAACAGTGGATGAAGAAATAATTACCAAATGAGATTAGAGGCAGAAAAATAAGGTGCTTAGGCCATTCCTTGTCAAAAAATGTGATGCTGGGAAAAGTGGAAGGAAAGCATGCTAGATGGTGATGCTACATGTAACATCCAGAGAAGGTCTGGCAAAAACCCATACAAGTATATAATAAAGACCCAGGCAGAGAATGTCAGAGACTCATTACAGCAAATCTGTAACATGCAAAATGCATTTGTGATAACACGGAAGATATATTATACTAGTCATCCAATATTAAAGGTAAAAATGTAATCTATTACATCTTATCAATAATTACAGTATTTTCTTTTAAAATATCCAGAAACCATGAGTTATTAACACTTCGGCTCGGTACTATGGATATCGCAACCCTTTAGCATTGATTCCATGATAAATACCGTATATCTGGGAAAAATGTGCCTTTTCTGCCTACCCCTAGGCGCGAACCCGGACCACAAGGTGTTCGTCACCCAGTGCTGCAAAGTCATGTTTAGCCGACTACGCTAGCGAGCCGGGCTTTAAAAAATGATGCAGATATAAATTTAACATATAATTCCTTATCATTAAGTAAACTTACATATTTCACATATAACTTTATCAAAAATTAAACATAAATCTAATAAAACAATGAGTTATAATTAATTAAAGATATAGATTTAACCTTCATTCCTTTGTCATTAATTAAAGATATGAATATAACTTACATCCCTTCATCCTTGATCAAAGATGCACAGTGCATATTTCCATCATTAAACTTTTTAACTGACTTGATATCCTGAGGTTCCATGCCTTCTGCCATAACACCAGCTACAAGTTGACCATTTGACAATGACATCGAATAATAGTTCTGTGGAAATTTACCATGTTTTCTTCATTATTAAAAAGTATTATCCTGTTACCATTTGTACAGAAAATGTAGAGCATTCATAAAGTCACTATGATAAGTTAGAGCATTCATAAAGTCACTATGATAAGTTAGAGCATTTATAAAGTCACTATGATAAGTTAGAGCATTCATAAAGTCACTATGATAAGTTAGAGCATTCATAAAGTCACTATGATAAGTTAGAGCATTCATAAAGTCACTATGATAAGTTAGAGCATTCATAAAGTCACTATGATAAGTTAGAGCATTCATAAAGTCACTATGATAAGTTAGAGCATTCATAAAGTCACTATGATAAGATAGGCAAATCTGGTTAGGTTGCTGTTACAAAAAAATAATTAGGCAACTTATAAAAAACAATGAAGACAGTTCTTGTAGCTTAAATTAGAATTTAAAAAGACAAAAAAAAAAAATGCAATGCTTCTCTAATATATTACTAGACATAGAAAAAAAAAAACAGAATTAAGATCGGCATAGCAAAAAACGAGACACACACCAGACACACCAGAAGACTTGTTAATCAACACAGAACTGGTACTATTAGCCATCAGGTGTTGGGGTTCACACTGAGGGGAGGATCTGAGCACCTATGGACATGTCCAGAGTGCAATGATGATAACCCAACTAACTAACTAACTAAGAAAACCAGATTCATTATAACAAGAAAATGATATTGGGTTGAGATGAGTTAACACTTTAAATAACACACATGTATTACATTAATTAGTTCTATCCTAAGAATTTATTATTTTAAGTAATTAATGTTTGGTTTGAGAAGTAAGCAATTATAGCATTATGGAACAGACTGAGTGAAAGTAACAATTAGGATGTAATGGATGAATGTAATAACCGAATGTGTTACAAGTAGTACAGGAAAGTAAACTAGGTCAGTTGAAACTAATAAACACATGGTGAGTTGCTCAGCACTAAAAGAGTTACAAGCTATTATTACAGCAGTCTGGAAATTCTGTTATGCAATCCGTCCTCATTTTCAGCAGCCAGTTTCAGATTTCTGATGCCGGATACAGTCTGTTTAGCCTTCCCTCTTAGTGACAAGCAGATCCTTTGGTGCTGTTGCATCACTGCTCCTTGCTTGTTCATATGCTTGTTTCTCCATGGTGATCTGGTTGCTCTTCATCTTTATTCAAATATCACTAAAAGGCTTTGACCCTATTAGCGTTCACATGCATCAGTTCATCAGTAGGTGGTGCAGAACTTTTCAGTCCATCTGCCTGTTCATTTCCCAACACACCATTATACCATTGAGAAAAGAACCAAAGCATGCTACAATCGGGGACCTCTGAAGTGATACATTTCACACTGCATAAAGCTATACTTTTGTCACTTTCTCTTTGAGAGTCTTGAATGTTGAATTAGGAATTGACATCACAGCACTTGTGACACTCCCATAAGTGCTCAGTCCCCATCTTCAGCAGCAAGAAAAGAGTTCCAGTTCTGATGGTACTAGTAACCGTCTGATTATATATATGTCTCATCCTTTTCCCTGAGTGTTGAATGTGGCCAGATCTCCTGGTAACTCCTCTCAGCACCATTCTCCTTAGAGACTGGTACTGGTACAATTGGAGTTGGGAACTCTTCACTGGCTGCTGAAGATGGGGACGGAGCACATTTAGGAATGTCCAAAGTGGTGTGATGTCAGTTCTTGAAACTCAACTACGCACATTATAACTTCCTTGTCTATTACTGCATACTCAGGAGCGTTGTATTTCTTTTTCTCTATATATATTTATTATTTCATTCATGATTTTCAGTCATGCATATTTGATTGTTATTTTTTCATTCACTTACAGTTTGTTGTTTGTGTACTAGTTTCGAGACACTGATATTGTGCACTGATTTTCTCCTCTGGATTTACACAGACGTTTCTTATTCTTTCGTGGGGAGGAATAATTTGCGATCCAGTGCACGTTGGCTGCCACTGACTTTTGTTACGCCCTGAAGGCGTAGAGTGTCTTTAATGTTGTCGATCCATGTTTTCCGAGGCCGTCCTCTTGCTCTTGTAGTTGATCTTCTGAGATGTAGTGCTTGTGATGGTATTTGATCTTGCTGCATTCTAACGAGATGGCCAAACCACTGGATCTGCTGTTTCTCGATGAATCTAGTACAAGGTGTTGTTCCCACAGTTTGCCTAATAGTTTCATTATTCACTCGATCTCGGATGGTTAGGTTGGTTGATTTTCTCACGCACCTCATCTCGCTGGTGGTAATTTTGCGTATATGGGCTTCAGATAGTGTCCATGTTTGGCACTGGTAGCTTAATGTTGGAATGAATATGCTATTAATAATCTGTCTCTTTGCACTCATAGTTATGCTTGTATGTCTTAATAATGGTGACAATTGGTATATAAGTGCACTTGCTTTCTGACATCTGGTTTCTATTTCTCTGTCAATTCTACCATCTTCTATGATCATACTTCCTAGATATTTAAACTCCCTAACTTGATTCAGGGCAGAATGTCTACTAACTTGCATTGTTTCAGTTTTGTTTACATTGATCTTCATGTTGTATTTACTACATGCTGAGTTTAACCTGTTAATGTGGTCTTGCAGTCTATCTTCTTCAGGGTAGAACAAGCACTGGTCGTCAGCAAACAGTAGTTCGTTTGATGTGGGTGAATCAATTACTTCTCCTGATGTATGTACTTCCTCGTGATTATAAAGGTCTATGTTGTCTGTATCATAACTTGCTTCTTTAGATATTCTGTCTATATAGATGTTAAATAAAAGTGGGGAGAGCACACATCCCTGTCTCACACCTGTGTTGACTGTGAACATATCTGATATGCCTTCTTGAGTTTTTACTGCACTTTGGCTTGTGTGGTACATGGCTATGATGTTCTCTGGTAACTGTCCTTGTACCCTGTAGTTCTCAAGAACAGACCAGTTTTTTTTCTTACCACTCTATCAAAAGCTTTTTCCTGATCTACAAACACAATATTCTGTTTGGTATTATACTCAATGGCTGCCTCAGAGTGAATAATGCATCTGTGCATCCTCTGCCTTTTCCGAAACCGAATTGTGATGCACTCAGCTGTTGTTCTGCTATGGGTCTAACTCTCTGTTCTAGTAATTTGGCGTACATTTTTCCTACGTGACTCAGTAGTGATATACCTCTGTATGCTTCACATTCTCTCCTATTACCTTTCTTTTTCCATATTGGTACTATTAATGCCTGTTGCCACTCAGCTGGGACCTTTTATTTTTACATCTGTTTCTAATCAAATATAATCAGTTTGGTTTCTACTTTTAAATCCTTGTCTTTTCCACATATACAGTTTCCTAAAACTACTCAAACTGAAGTAATGCAGGTCAGCTGAATTCCTGGTCCACCAAATATCGGGTTGAGTGGTTCTTGTCTGAAGCAAGTTGAAGAATTTAAGTATCTAGGAAGTATATTCTCGGAGGGCTGGAGAATAGATCAGGAAAAAGAAACAAGATGCCAGCAAACCAGTACACTTATACACCAACTGACATCATATTCAGACATCCAAACATAATTATGAGTGCAAAGAAACAGATTATTAACAGCATATTCATACCAATACTGTGCTACCAGTGCCAGACTTAGACATTATCAAAGGCTAACCTAGGTCAAATTAACGCCTGCAAAATCAGATGCCTGAGAAAAACCGCCAACTAAACCATCTGAGACAAAGTTGGAAATGATATCAGACAGACTGTAGAAACAACACCATGCAGCAAATTCACTGACAAACAGAAATCAAATGGTGTATTTGTTTCCTGCATATAATTTCATGACCTAATATCTGAGTTGTGATGCAAGAATACATGTAATTCCTTCTATAAGATTTACTATATTTTCTCTATAAATCAGGCCAGAATCTAAGGATTAATTGCATTTATACCTTTAATTTTTTTCAAATACAGTCTTGGTATGAAAGAATATTACTAAAGATGATTCCTTAATAAAAGTTTCCTTGTAGCAATAGTGTTGCAATCAAAACAACTAACCTCAGCTGCTATGTCTCTGGCAATGAACAGGATAGCATCTTCTCGGTTTGTGACAAAAGTTAGTGAGATGTCATTTTTCTCATCTGCAAAATCTAAATGCTCACTCTGTAAAAGCAGATAGCCATCTCCTTTGAAACCTACAGTATGAATACCCTGCAATAAAGATAATAAGACAATGTAAAATAACAGATTCCTTGTTAATATTAGAATTAGAATAAATGACAGCAGAATAAAATGTGTCCCCGCCACCTCCCTAATATTCAGTAGAGCAACATTTAAACCAAGTACCTGCATACAGGGTATCTATTTTTTAGCCTTGCAGTAATGTTTCTGTAAGAGTATTTTGTCTTTTAATATGGCGAAATGATTTTACTTCAATCTATTTTATTTATTTCAGCAAATATCTTTTTATTCCCATTATCAAGACTATACTGATCGGTTCATAATTCAAATAATGCTGCCATTAAACCTGTAAAACTAAGAACAGAGTGATTTGATGATGAACTGTAAAAGATACCTTGCACTAAACATCACTGAGATAATCAGGACTGATAAAAAGTGGCATCAAAATATAGAACTAAATGGTTCTACTTCCACCTCTTTGTTTGGATGAATTTTTCGTTATTTTGAAGCCTCACCCTGGATATTGCCGGGTGCCCTAATGTAACCTAACAGTTGAATTGGGTTTCTGGGACCTCTCCTTGAGTGATCCTCATCTGAATGCTGCCACTTTGTGTCACCAGTTTTTTATTGCCCAGTGTGATTCTTTGGTGGGGTTATTATAAGTCAGTCAGTCACAGAACTAAAAAAAACTGTTTCCCTCTAAAATGCTTGTGTCAGTAAATGTACCCATTACGTAAGCACATTTATGTAAATTTATACTTACATTTTCCCTACACGATGAACTAGACTGTACATTGACAAGAGTGCTGGTATCATCATCAGGAGGAAGTGTCCCAAAGTGAAGGTTACGCATGCAGCCAAAAAAGAAATCACTTCTGTTTCTGAGTGAGAAGAATACAGTGATGACTTGTGTATCAACAATTAGGTAATGCAATAATTTCTGTTTAGGATATAATATGTAGTTAAATAGAAAACTACATGAAAACACTCAGTTAAAAATAAAATCCATTCATGTTTTTTTCAGACTGTCCTTTATTTAATTAAAATGGACTATAAATAAATTGTGAATGAATTGCTAATGTATTAATTAATTACAAGCAAATAAACTCATGTGAACCTAGGCATAAATGTTTATGGTTAAAAAAAAAATAATAATAATATGGGTGAGTCAAGCTAAGATCTAACTTGAGATGGTGAAAGTTGACAGAATACAAAATGTATGCATTCTTTTATGAGAATCAATCAATCAATCAGGTGCCGTCTCCACAATGAAGGTTGGCTGTAATGGATCTCCAACAAGCCCTGTCTCTTGCTCTTGATGTACACTCACTCATACTGCTGTTCGTCCATCTCTTGATGTTATCCTCCCACTTGTAACGCTGTCTGCCTTTTGCTCGCCTACCTTGAACCTTTCCCTCTAGGATGATCTTTACAAACTGTTATGTCTTTTAATGTGGCCAAAATATTTCACTTGTCTCTTTTTTATTTCACCTAGCAACTCTCTTTTCATTCCCAATTTCCTCAGTACCTCTGTATTTAATAGCTTTTGTTTCCATGAAATACGACCTAATCTTCTGTATATCCACATCTCCAAAGAATTGATACGATTTTCCAGTTGTTTGTCCATGTCTCTGTGCCATACAGTAAGGTTGAGAATACATAACATTTGACAATTTTCATTTTTAATGTATTGCTTATTTCTCTTGATCTCAGAAACCTGTGCATGTTGTTGAAAATGTTTTTGGCCATCCCTATTCTTTTCTTGACTTCTGTTTCACTTCTGCCGTCACATGTTATTACTTGTCCGAGATATGAGAAATTTTCAACTTGTTCCAATTTATGAGAATATAAAACTTGAAATGCACTTATTACCTTCATCTAAAACACCAATGGGAGAAAAACCATATAATATGAAACGTATTGAACAGGCAATAATTTGTTTGTCATCATTAAAACACTTACAGCTCTTTGAAACTTTCCTCTTTCAGTGTTGTAGGCACTCCACCAAAGTACATAGGGGCACCAGCCAAATCTAATCCAGTATTAGGGCCAGGTGATACCAAATTTACACTCTCATTTTCCACTTTCAATATAGCTGTAAATGTACAACAATCACAGAGTGGTTTACATGACCAACTGGCGGTAAAGATATATTTATAACTACATACATCAACTCTCATGAGGCAAAATACTGAAGTGATCCATGATTCTGGTGATCATCTGAGATGGCAAGACATGGCACACTATACTTATCAGCATAGCACATGATGCTGATGAAGCTTTATCAGATCATTGCAATATTCACAATAATTTTTTAAATTCTTTTTCTTCTTTAGTCCTGTTCTGCCTTTTAATGTCAGGTTTTGAAGAGGTATTGAGTTGTGAGCCTTCATATTTGCCACATAGATAATGGTGTTCACGGAGTCAGATATTCCACCTATCTACTGCTTGCAGTATCTTCTACTTATGCTTCTCTTGTGTCTAAGTGTCGAGGCTCTCTATGGTGCATCATCTTGTGGACATGTCCAAACTATCTTATCTGTTGTCTCCTGATTTAGTTCAGCCGTGGTTCCATCTTCCCTTTGTTGTCTGATATCGTTGTTTCTGATCCTTCTCAGGTTGAATCCAGTCAATCTAAAGAACTCCTCGTCACTTCCCATGTTAACATTGGGCTACACTCGTTTTTCAGCTTTAAAGGTTTCAGCTGTTCCTAGGTAATTGTTGTGCTGCTGATTCCAAAAATGTAATCAGATTAATTTTTGTTCTATCCACTCTAGTAGGGCAATTGTTATGTACAAGCCTAGAGTCTGATGCTTTCAGTGGCATCTTGACTTTATTCTGCTTTCATTTTATAGTACTTACTGTGTAATTATTACCTTCACATAAAACAACAAAAATGTATCAAAACTGTATCACTAGCATCTGTTTATCAATAATCAACATACAAAAAAGATTCCCTTATTGAAGCCTTCATGGAATGTGATGTCCGAGTCACATTTAGGGGTCATACAGTAATCTCTTATCATGTGGGCATCTCAAAGTACCTGGTATCTCTCTTCCATTGGTTTTATATCTTTCACCTTGTTCCTTACTGAAGTCAATAAGATTCTCATGAAAGAAATGTAAAGGGTTTTGGAAGTAGTGCAATTGTATGGTCAGGGTTGATCCAAGCTTGCAAAGACTCAACAGTATATGTCCAGCTAATTCAAAATAATTGTTTGCTCAAAGTTACCTGGCAAGTTTTAATCCTGAAGCCAAATGTTACGAAGATATCTTGGAGAGATAAAGATCTTGGATTAGATCTTTCAGTTCAAGCTTGCCAAAGTACTTTGCAGCCAAAAATGTATCTTCAAAATTACTATTGCTGTCACTAATTGGTTCACATGCAACTGCTGTTTTGTCTTCTTACATGGAATCTGAACTAGGACTGAAAGTTGGAAGTGGTTTGTCAACTTAGTGTGGAACAGGTCATCCAGCAGTATCTAAATCTAGATATTTCAAATTTTGGGGGGTTTTTAATTTATTCTCTTAATATTTACAACATATTAGTCATCAAAGTGGTTTTTAGGCTGTCTTCAAACCCTTGGAACTCTAACTTCCAAACATTTTCTTTTCCCCAAATCCAATGTCCTCTTGCAGATGATGCCTTTCTGTGTTAGAAGTGCAGAAAAAATGCCTAGCATACTAACATGCATACAGTGAGTTAAAATCTAAAAATGTCAAATTTTGGACAACTGAAAATGAACGTAAACAGGCAGTTTCATTTTACACTCACACACACCATTCCCCCACCCTACCACACACATGCACCCCCACCACACACACACACCATTCCCCCCCCCCCCCCCCCACACCAAACACATGCCATCCCCCCATGCAAACCATACACATGCACCCTCCCCACCACATACATACAGAATATGCTCACCGTTTAGATTCCTTCTGTCAAATGTGATTTTTGTCCACTTGTTGTTGTTGTACGTATTGTTTGTGTGACCGTGAGTTGCACTAACTCCACCCATATAAAAATGTACAAAAACTAGACCTCCTTTCAGTTCTAGGGAAAGGTAGTCACCCTAGGAGAAAAGTTCAACAAGACATCAGATTTTTTGTAGTGAAAGGGTTCGTTCCAGTAACAACTTTGTAATAATATGTATTAAACAGAAGTTTATGATGTTCAAGTATCAGAGGTTTACCATTCATTAACATCACATTTCTTCAGGTGCCTGGTCTGGGGCAAATATCAGTTATCATGGCTCCCCAGTCGACTTTGTTATTTTATAATTTGATGAAGTTGTCATTATTGTTTTTTTAAAACCCAAGTCAAAATTCATTTTAAGATGAGCCGGTCTTGCTGGTCACACTCACTATTGCTGTGGGTTGTATTCAATATACTCCCTGTAAGCACAATTTCCCAGAGTTGTCTAGACATTCAGAACTGTGCTAACAGCCAAGTACTCCCTGTAAGCACAATTTCCCAGAGTTGTCTAGACATTCAGAACTGTGCTAACAGCCAAGTACTCCCTGTAAGCACAATTTCCCAGAGTTGTCTAGACATACAGAACTGTGCTAACAGCCAAGTACTCCCTGTAAGCACAATTTTAAACTGTTGTCTAGACATACAGAACTGTGCTAACAGCCAAGTACTCCCTGTAAGCACAATTTTAAACTGTTGTCTAGACATACAGAACTGTGCTAACAGCCAAGTACTCCCTGTAAGCACAATTTTAAAACTGTTGTCTAGACATACAGAACTGTGCTAACAGCCAAGTACTCCCTGTAAGCACAATTTTAAACTGTTGTCTAGACATACAGAACTGTGCTAACAACAGTCAAGTACTTCCTGTGGGTACAATTTCAAACTGTTGTCTAGACATACAGAACAGCTAACAACAGCCAAGTACTCCCTGTAAGCACAATTTCCCAGTGTTGTCTAGACATACAGAACTGTGCTAACAGCCAAGTACTCCCTGTAAACACAATTTTAAACTGTTGTCTAGACATACAGAACTGTGCTAACAGCCAAGTACTCCCTGTAAGCACAATTTCCCAGAGTTGTCTAGACATACAGTTGTTGTTGTTGTTGTTATCGATCCAGCGGCGCATGAGCTTTCGCCCTTTGGCCCAATGCCATGTAGTGGAATTTGCATGTTTTCACAAGCTGTTCTTTTCCTCCGTACAAGGTGTTTCACTTGTCTGGTCTCGGAGGGAGTAGCGTTCTTCTTGTCTCACTGAGTTTTGGGCACTCAAAGAGATGGTGTTCAACAGTTTCGTAGGGGTAGTTACATAGCTGGCACTCTGGGGAGTGTTGTGGCTGTATTCTGTTTAGGTGTCCATTGAGTGGAGTATGTTGCGTTCTAAGTCTGAAGATGGTGGCCTGGTCCCTTCTTGTTAGATGGTTAATGCTGTCATTAGGATCAGGGCCAGACATATGTCTATAAACCTCTCTTCCAGTGTCTCCCATGGCCCATCTGTTCAACCAAGTCTCTTTGTTTATAGCTCTTATCAGTGTTTTTGCTGTCTGGAGGGTTGTCGCTGTAGGTGGTTGTTCTTGTGTTGCTCCTTTCTTTGCCAATCTGTCAGCTCTGTCATTACCTGGTGTGCCGGAGTGACCTGGAATCCACTGCATCACTATTCTGATGTTGTATGAGGTAATAAGCTGATCGGCATCCAGGATTATCTTGGCTATGTCAGTTCTGCAGCGTTCATTGCCCTCCAGAGCTTGAAGGGCAGACATTGAATCTGTGAAGATGACAATATTTTGGACCTTTGAGGGGTAAACATCCATTACAGTCTTTAGGTGGTATACTGCTGTTTCCAGTGCAATTATTTCAGCTTCATAGTTTGAACAGAATTCCCCGCATGCATCAAAAATCTCTTCAACAGATCCATCGGGATAACCTATGTAGATTCCGTAACCTGCTTTAATGGTAGCTTTAAATGCTGATCCATCAGTATAGACATGTATCCATTCTTGGGGGTAAGAATCAACAGTCTTTAGTGATGAGTTCATAAGAGCGATTGGGTCGGACTGTTTGGTTTCCTCGCCTACCATTTAGTTTGGACTTCTGGAGCTTTAAAGCGAGCATGTGGTGGTAGGTTTTTTGCAACATTCTGAATTCCTTGACGTCTTTCTGGGAGGTGGTATCTGTCCTGAATTTCATTAACACAGTGTAAAACCGATTTGTGCTTTATTCTTTGTTTGGGTTCCCAGTTTTCTACAAGATGTCTATTAGGATGGTTACGATTTTTCCTAACGCATCTTTCATAAATTTCTAAAGTGCTTTTTTCTCTCCGCAACCCGAGGGGTTCCACATTTGTATGGATTTCACATGCAGCAGTTGGTGTAGACTGCATAGCTCCGCAGATTAATCGGAGGGCATTATTTTGTACTCTGTCAAGAGTCTCTAGGTTAGTTTTGGAACAAGTTGAAAGCAGTGAGTTGTTGTACTCTATCACAGAGCAAACATATCCTAGGTATAAGCCCCTCAGAGTTTCCTTGTCTGATCCCCATGATGTACCTGCAAGTCTCTTTAATAACTGTAACCGCCTCAATGCCTTATTCCTGATGTTTTCAATATGGTTCTTGAGGCTGAGCTGCGGGTCAAGTGTGACTCCAAGGTATGTGGGATGCTCTTCTTTCATCACTTGGTGTTTGTCTAACCTCAGGTTAAAATTCTTCCTTGCTACTTGGTGGCTTTTGGTAAAGATTGTGTAGACCGTCTTTGTACAGTTAATTTTGAGTTTCCATCTTTGGCAGTAATCATGCAGTCTTCTAAGGTCTCCATTCAGTCTTTGGGCTCCACTTTCCACATTTTCATGACTCTGCCATATTGCTAGGTCATCAGCGTACAAGGCTTTTTCGGCCTTGATTTGTTCTGGCAGGTCATTGATAAAGATTAGGAATAGTGTACAGCTCAATGATGAGCCTTGTGGCAAGCCCTCCTCCAAGACTTCTTTAGAAGAGATTGCGTTGTGCATCTTAGTCTGGATTGTTCTATCTATCAGGAAGTATTTCACCCAGTTATACAATCTGCCATGTATTCCTATGCTCATCATCTTCATCAGGAGACCTTTTCTCCATACTCTGTCATAGGCCTGCTGGAGATCGACAAAGACTGCCACTGTGTGTTTCTTATTCTGGAAGCCATCATGTATTCTTTGTGTCAGTCTGAACAGCTGGTCTTCTGTGCAGCTGTTGGTTCTGAAGCCTGCCTGTTCATGGCATAGAACACCAGAACTCTCAAGGAACCAATATAAGCGCCTGTTTATCATTCTTTCTGCAACTTTGCCCAAGCATGATGTTAAAGATATCGGGCGGTAGCTTTTGGGGTCATCTGGAGGCTTTTTGGTTTTAAGGATGGGGACGATATATGCATTCCTCCATGCCCTTGGAAGTTTGCTTGACCTCCAAGTTTTATTAATAAGCCTGAGAACTACTTCTCTCCCAGACCGGCCAAGATGTAGCAGCATTTCGTTGTGGATCTTATCTGGGCCTGGAGATTTTCTAGGTTTTAATTTCTTCAGGGCTTGCTCTAGTTCATCCATGCTAAATTCATTTTCAAAAAGGGAGTCGCTGGCTGTTGGAGCTCTCTCTTGTTTCTTCAACTGAGAGAGCTGTGTTCTATTGAGTTCTGACAGCTTACCTGCTCTGTTAACTGAGGCAAAATAATGATTGAAATGTTCTGCTTTCTTCTTGTCTTCAGTGATTGTCTTACTCCCATCTGTCACTGGTTTTGGGTTCACCCTTCTACTTTCTCCGGAGAGGTTTTTAACTAAAGTCCATGCTTTATTTCCATTCTGTCTAAGGTCTAAGTTGGAGCAAGTTTCTGTCCATTTATCTCTTTTAGCCTTATTAACTACAAGCTTTACTCTGGCACATGCTTTATTGTATTGGATCTTTGCTTCTGTTGAACGTGCAGTTTCGAGAAATATTCTTGCTTTATTCCTTTCAGATATAGTATTTTGAATTTCTTGATTCCAAAAAGGTTTATATGACTTCCGGCTGCCCCTTGGGATGGCTTTCGACACTGCATTCAGGATTGCTTGTGTTATGTCTTCACAAAAAGTTTCCACACAGCTGTTGTCAATTCTTCCCAGGAGGCAGTCAGATGTTTCCTGAAATAGTTTCCAGTTTGCTTTTCGGAAATTCCAACGGGTTCTCTGCTTGAAGCGTAATTTAGGGGTGGTGCTTACAGTTGTGAGTATAGGTTTGTGGTCACTTCCTATGTCATCCAGGACTTGGGGATAGCTTGCGTCTGCTAAGTCGGATGAGCAGATGGTCAGGTCTGGTCTGCTGAGAGATAGGTGGGCCCTGTGTAACAGTGTAGGTGTAGACTCTGTGTCCTGCAGCACTAATAGGTTAGTTGTTTCACAAGTATCTTCGATGTACTTCCCTGTGCTATTGTAGTCAGGGTAACCCCAACGTGGCGAGTGTCCGTTGAAGTCACCAATAAGAAGGGTTTTATGGTACTGTGTCTTGTATAGTTCTGGTATGTTGCATGTTGTCTGAGGTGGGCTGTACACGTTGTATATCGTATATTTGCTTCCATTGTGCCAGATAGTTATTTTTTGCACATCTGTAGGGTGAGATGTCGACAGCATTGTTACATCTCCTTGTATGTCATTTCTGATATAGGTCACTATGCCCCGGCAGTCATTGCACTTACAGGCATAACTAGTATATCCAGTGAGATGCAGATCAGAGTCTTTATGCAGGGTTTCTTGTAGGGCAGCCACGTGTACCCTGTGGTTGTTTAGCAGTTTGGCAAGTTCAAGTTTCTTATTTCTTATTCCACAGATGTTCAGCTGCAGAATATTGAGCATCTGTGTATTTTTTGCTGTGCTGTCTGAGTTCTTTTTGTTCTCCCTCCCACTCTTCCTCCTCCTGGGGTGTCTGTTTTCCCTATTTATTTCAAATTTTCCAGTAGCCAATTTTTCGCACATGACAGCCTGGTTTCCCACTGTCTGGCGCGGGCCTTGATAGACGAGGCGACGACCGATCTCGTATGTATTCTTAAATTTTGACATATTCATGGCATTGTGGTGCTGGGGTGTCTGTGGATTACCTACCTCCCCGGGCAGCAGCTAGAAATGCCCTGTACCAGTTCTAAAGGAAATATGGGTTGTGTTTCTGCCTTTCCCTTTAACATGTAGCTAAGGTGGGGCTCACAGTGTTCTCATTCCCCGCCACCAGATTGCCTGCAGGTTTCGCTGAGCTCTTCATGTCTCTAAGCATGGCCTAAGCATGAGTAGTTGGGGCAACTGGATCGTCACGTCCTGAGTCCCTGTGCCTTCACGATAGTTTCCGGTATTCAGGGGGGTTAGCATACTTGTTTCCATTCCTAAGACTGTTCAGCACACCTCTGGTTCCTTCCCTCCCACAGGGGGCAGTACGGTGTGGTGCACCGGGTTTATTATCGAGGTTTGCTCCTCTAGATCCATTGTGTTTTGCCTGGGGATTCGCACCCCCAGTTACCGGGACTACCTCGGGGAGGCTGTGACTCTTCGCCACGCACAATGGTCTTGAGGTAAGAGAGGTTTTGCTAGGTCAAGAGGCTGACACCACAATGGACGCTCCTTTCGTGAACAGATATACACTAGACCTAGGGTGAAGTAAGGGGGGGAACCCACTACCCACAACACCAACACTTCTTACCCCCTGCCTCTCGAGGCTCAGTCCCGTCTAGACATACAGAACTGTGCTAACAGCCAAGTACTCCCTGTAAGCACAATTTTAAACTGTTGTCTAGACATACAGAACTGTGCTAACAGCCAAGTACTCCCTGTAAGCACAATTTTAAACTGTTGTCTAGACATACAGAACTGTGCTAACAGCCAAGTACTCCCTGTAAGCACAATTTTAAACTGTTGTCTAGACATACAGAACTGTGCTAACAACAGTCAAGTACTTCCTGTGGGTACAATTTCAAACTGTTGTCTAGACATACAGAACAGCTAACAACAGCCAAGTACTCCTTGTAAGCACAATTTCCCAGTGTTGTCTAGACATACAGAACTGTGCTAACAGCCAAGTACTACCTGACGCATACAAGGTAAATTATTATTTATGATCCCAGTATTATTTCCGGAATATTCTAAGCTTAAGGTAAATAACTATTATACATAAGCAACAATCCTAATAATTTTTCTCAGAAAAAAAATACAAATTAGACATTCATGATGCTACCACTCACTGCACTAGCACATGGAAATTTTATCATCTTATAGATTAAAACAGCGTCAACACCCAAGTTAAACAGACATTTTTCTAAGAAAATACCATGAAAGTAAAATGCACATTGAAACTAATGTACCCTTTCATAGATATCTTGCCTTTTCTAGGAAGCTTAACTATTACTTTCAGTTATCTTTATGATCAAACTATATCCTGTGTAATGTTGTTTAACTGCAATAGATTACTGCTTACTTTTTGAGTATTTCCTACAAAGAATATTCTAGAATCTTCCCAAAATGTTTTAAACTCCAGCTCCACTTTGGTTCTGGTGGAACTGTACGCTCGCACATCGAATCTGGCAAACCCTCTGCCACCAAAGACATAAACTTTGCTGGAGCCTATCTTTACCCGTGGTCTGAAAATAAAGAGTAAGTAAATTAATCTAAGTTCAATGTGAAATATCAGTAATTGTTTCATTTAATATTATCCAGTGATTCTGATCTGTTCAAACATAATAAATATTAACTGCATTTTCTCTCAAATTCATATTGCCTTCTTCAGGCTCTCGCATTTAAAAACATTAAACAACATGCTCACCAGTGATGGCACTCAACACATATAGATGGATTTAGTAATACTGACTACATTTGAATTGTTTTGAAAAGAGGTTTTTTTAGAAGGTATATCAACAGTGTATTTGTTCAGGAGACAGTGCAGGAACAGTCAACAGCAGTAGTAATGTAAGAAATGTTTTTCAAACCATGTGTGTTATATGTGGGATATATAGAGTTTTTTCTACACGTCTACTTTAGAATAGAAATTATACATGGTAGCTGAATATAAATACATCTTAGAATGAATTAATGCATCAGTCAAAAATCTGACATATTAAGTAGATATGTTAATCAATCTAAGTATCAACCTTCAGACTGAACAATCTGACATGACAATACACATAAAATTGGATTGTATTTATTATCTACTTTTATTTTCAGTTGGTTAAGAAGATTTTTGCTGTTAAACTACAAAGGTTTTTGGAAAGGGAAGAGCTCCTGCCAAAAAGTTTAGGTAGTTACCGGCCACAAAAAGATACCTGGTCAAATGCAGCTACTTTTGCTTTTGATGTTAAGAGAGCTTCAAGAACAGACAGGGACAGTTGTGGCAGCACTTGATCTGTAGGATGCCTACAATGGAGTCAGATATGATATTTTGCTATCTGCACTCATGGAGAAGGGGGTTTGTCCCTGGCTTGTGAACTGAATAGCAGTTGTCAGGTATGGTTGCCCTTCACCTGGGAACACGGACCTCAGAACCATGTAATATCGCCCCGGGACTACCCCAGAGTTCTGTAATTTCACCAGTGCTCTTCAATTTGTATACAAGCAAGATTGCAGAACTTTACGCACCAGGTGTTGGAAGGATATTGACATTCACTGATGATGTTCTTGCCTACAGGCAGGACAGGAAAATGCATCGGATAACTTAAGAGCGACAGGCAACAGTAGACAAAGTGACTGAATGGTGTGCAGAAATGGGTGCTGTCATAAACTTAGAAATGGCGACTGTTTTGTAGTACTGTCTAGACAACAAAATTGTAAGAGCTAATGTTCCAAGCCTCGTTTTTCTAGCAGAATCAAACAGCTATGTAACCAGCTTTCTGGGATGGTGCCATTACGGATGCTGTCATTGTAGGTTTTACATAGGTCATGCATGGATGTTGTGGGCAGCTTGACAATGTCTTCATAGTGAAAGCGAGGAGCAGACTTCTTTGATGTTTTGATGATGTTCTTAATTTCAGCGACCCTAATGCCTGTACCAGCACATTTTACAGTGAGCATATCCATATCAAACACTAAACTACTTCAAGTCACAAACCAAGAAACTTTAGACAGTATGATAACCAAGAGAAGATGGAAATGGCTTGGCCACATTATGAGAATGAATCCTGATATACCCGCCAAAACAGCTCTCACATGGACACCAGAGGGAAAGAGAAAACAGGGGCGCCCAAAAACAGCATGGAGACGAACGATGGAAAGTGACCTGAGTGCGGCATCTTTGACATGGAAAACTGCACTGAAGATTGCACAGGACAGGAAAGCATGGAAAGTCCTCTCTGAAGCCTCATGTGCCACTAGGCATAACGAGAACTGATGATGATTATATCCATGGTAGTCTGACGGATGGCAGTGTCCTGCATGCAAGTTTGCTTGAGGTATCCGTCAAGAAGTGTTCTTCTTTTGTCTTCATCAGACCTGTTCCATGTTTGATCTTCAATAGTGAAGTTTCTGATGTTTTGGCATCTGGAAGCACCTTTCACAGCCTTATGTATCAACTAGAATTTCGCAAGAGGTTTTTCCTTGCATACTTTAAAGCAAAAGATTTCCTTTAGGGACCATTCCTTTCTTGGCAACTAATTTAGAGGCTGTTTTTATGGTTTGCATGGTCTGTTTGTATTATTCTGCCACATCTTTACAGCATGTCTTTTAAGTACCCACACTGACTTCACCTTATCACCTGGTGATTCTTCCATCGTTTAGGCAGACTATATCCATTTTCACCATGGCATCCTCCAAATCCTCCTCTTGTTTATTTGTTGAAATGTTGATCCATATTCTTTTCTGTTTGCATTATTTCTTGAAGGCACACCCTTTTTTCTCTGCTTACTTTATCATTACATGAGTGGACATTAACCAGCATGAATACTGTCGCACGTATTGCAACAGTTTGTAATTTTAGGCTGGCATCTTGCCAGGTCAGGGGTTGAAGCATGAGGCCAACACCCCCACCTTCATAAAACTTTATCTCTTCACGAAACAGATATCTAAGCCTCGATTTCCGATGGATTTAAATGGACAACAAACCTGGAACGTTAAAGGACTTTTGAGATTTGGAACATGGAATGTAGAAAACCTTTATAGAGCTGGAGCAGCTAAAGAACTGACCTGTGAGTTATCAAAATACAGAATGGATATAACAGCAATTTAAGAAATGAGATGGCCAGACAGGGCACCATAGAGGAACATGGAATGATCATAGTGTATGGAGAAAACACTCAAAACAAACATGAATTAGGGAGAGGATTTTTTATCAAGAAAAAGTTGTGAGTAAGCATAAATTTTGAAGCTGTTAGTAAAAGGATCCGTAAGAAACAAATAAAAGAAAAATGGAAAAATATCTGGATAGTTAATGTGCATGCACCCACTGAAGATAAAGATATTAAAGAAGATTTCTATGATTTCCTTGATGAAGCTCAAAAACGACACATACCGACTGTATTAGGATATTTCAATGCAAAAAATAGGAAGAGAAAACACCTATAAAAATGTAGCAGGCATGGAAAACCTATATACAAATTATAATAATAATGGATGGAGATTAATCAATCTTGCCATAGCGAAAGGACTACAGATCAGCAGCACCAGATTTCAAAGAATAGATAAACATAAACAAACCTGGCAATCATGTGGCAGGATAACTTAAATTGAGGCATATTGAAAGAATGTCAGATGACAGAGAAGTAAAAACTGTATACACCAGGGAGATAAATGGTTGTAGACCATGAGGCAGACCAAGAAGATGATGGAGAGATAATATCCAGACAGACCTGCAAACACTTGGTGTCACCAACTGGAAAGAGAGGGCCAACCATAGAGATGAATGGAGGCCGGTGATATCTGCAGCAATGAACCTCAAGGGCTCGGAATGCTGAAGAAGGAGAAGAAGATCTTGCCATCTGGACATGTCAACCTCATGAGATTCGATAATATCTCTGACGAGAATAGCCTGTCTCCGGTGTAGATTGTTTTGATAAGTGCAAAAACCTGTGAGTTTCAGTGTATTGTCACCTAGGAGTGTTTCTTGCAGAGCAACTACATTAGCATTATGCATTAATTTGTCCAGAATAGGTCATCTTTGACACAGTTCCAGTAGAGAGTTTGAACAGGCTTTCAGCCTATCCTTTCCGATTTTATAGTGATTTTCTGACCCTAGCATGCTTCACTTTTTGGTTATTTTTGCGATCTGCATTGTTTGCGCCTTTTCCTTTTAATTTGAACATCATTATAACATATCGGTGGAGCAGGTGAAAAAGATCTCAGCTCAGTATTCCATCGCGCAAGCGAGAATCCTGGACCAACATTTTCACACAAGTCTGGCTGCAGAGGTCAATTTTGTTGCTAAGGCCATCATGATCAGCCGCACATGCTTCAGACTCACATTAAAAGCGCAGAGCCTAATCCCCATTCTGGCCTCGAACAAATATCTTGCAGTGTTTAACATTTCTGCATTGCTTTTGAGCTGATATTTTAATATGGTCCAAGAGGGAAAAGCAAAGTCATGGCTCATGAGTGAAAACATAACAACACGCCGCAGTATATAAAAATGGAATTCCTGCTGTTATTTCTTGTTTGTTACTTTGGAGAAATGGTACAAATCCGATAAATATTGAGTTTCAAGTAGTAACTCATCCTATAACCGAGGAAATTAAGAAAACAAGTGTCAGCTATGTGATGAGCCTCTAACATCCTGCGCCATTATTCTTCCCCAGTGAACTCATGCAGGCTTTATCCAGGCTCACTCTTTATGTAGACTAATGCCATGTAATTTTGCTTTTGTACATTTATTCTATATCTTATCTCTAGCAAACAGATATGGAGCTTATCTGTTTACATTCCTAAAGTATTTATTACCATGAACTCATTCATTATTGCTTTCACATTTTCCATTCGAAAAAATATTAATCATAAAATCAAAGCGACTACAAACTTCACAGTTGGCACTTACACTTCTTTGCAGGCACCACAGTGTTCTGCTATATTAGTCTTGAAGTTGTATACACCAAGTCTGCTACCATCAATAAACACATCACCAAGGCAGCCAGTGAAATTCTGTCTGGTGATGTCACTGGGAATCTAAGTAAGAGATCAAGCACATTCTGCTGTTATAATTTTGTCAATATGTCGATAAAACAAAACTGGTGGAGATAAACCCCAGAAGTGAAAGACCTTTAGCAACAGATAATGTAGGTTTTGAAACAGTAACTGACTTCCCCTACCTGGGACGCAATATCTTCTTGGATGGAAATGTAGTGGTTAAAATCAAGCAGAGAATTGCAAAGACAAATTTTATTACAACAGACTTCAGAGCGTCTGGAGATCAAATATCTAACAGCACTAAACTAAACTCAGGATATGCAAAACATATACGTTAGGACAGTTCTCCCCTAAAGAGCAGAAACTTGGAAAACAGACAGAAAGACAGATAGCATGCTCAGAGGTTTTCAGGGAAAACTTCTCAGAATACTGGGTTCACAAGGGAAGATAAAATCAGCAATTCTAGATTACAAAAAATGACAGACTTTAAAAATGTAAATTTAGAAATTAAAAACAACAAAGATGGGGGTGGGGGAATTGGACACTTCCTCAGAATGAAGAAAGAGAGATGGCTGAGACAGGCAATGCAAAGGACATCACAAGGACAGCAAGGAAGAGGCATGCCCAGAGGCACTTGGAGGCAAACTTTTGGGGCTGAACTCAAGGCTATGTGAAGGACAAAACTGGAAATACAGAGGATGGCTCAGGATTGAATGGTGTTAGTTTGTCTCTGCCTTATGTGCCTCTAGCAGCGATGAGGATTGATTGACTGAATATGTAAAATAACAGTAATTTATTTAAAGCATCCTACAAGTTCTTGACTTATTTCTTTTTCTTCCTCTACCTACTTTTGGAATGCCTCATGGTGTCAGGGCATGAAGAGGTCTATGGAACGGGCTCTTATGGTCGCTTTCTTATAAAGTACTTTTCAATGTCACTGATATTTCTGCAGTCCATATCTGTGTGGTTGACCTCTGGCTCTGTTACAGCTGTATCTGTTTAATATTACTCATTGAGGTGCCCTGTTTGTGCAATATTATTACATGGCCAAACCATTCATTTGTTGTCTACCTATAAAGTTCAGTATTGGTTCTGTGCTGAACCTATTCTTGATATCATCGTTTCTAAGTTGATCTTTCCTTGTTACACCAAGCATAGTAAGTAAACATTTTATTTCTGACATGACTATTTTCCTTCTGTGTTCTGAAGACAGTGTCCATGTTTGACATTGATAGCATAGTGTTATCAAGAATATTGTAATAATTTCCACTGGTCTTTGGGTTGTAAGACTGGATGCCTGTGTGTAATGTTGCATGTAATGTAGGCCATTTGGCCTAAAACTTGATTGGCTTTATGGTACTTTTGTTGGATTCCTTCATTAATTTTTCAGTCTTCTTCAACAAATGCTCTCCAGATATGTAAAATCTTTTATCTGGTTTAACTGGTATTCAATAATTGTGATATTGTTGGTTCTTCCTTTTCTGGAGAATGTCATCACTGTTTTGTTTATGTTGATCTTCATAGCATACTTGTCCCATTTTGAGTGGAATCTATTAATACGTTCCTGTAGTTGTACTGCTGCTGGTGTTATGAAAAGCAATTCATTCAGTAATACTCTGATGTTGTCCTCTTCACCCCTTTACTGATATTAGATGATCTGCAAATGTGGCAGACATGTGAACATTAGTGCTGATGAAACCCACACCAAGAGTGTGAATGTTGTGTTAGTAGAACTTCTGTTTTTCCTAAATCCCATTTGTCCTTCACAAAGTTGTGGTTCGATGACTGAGCATTGCCTTTTTTCAAGGATCTTACAAAATATTATCCCGGTGTGGCTCAATAACGAAACTCCTGTTTACTCACACTGTCTCTTGCTGCTTTTCTTCTTCCAGATGGGTGCTGTTATTGCATTTTTTCACTCCTCTGGAGTCTCTTGTCTTATCCAGACTATGTTTAACAGTCTGTGCATGATTTTATGCCTACCTCTTCTATTGCTTTGAGTAGTTCAGCAGGAATATCATCAGGGCCTGGTGCCTTGTTTGAATGTGCCATTTTTACAGCTTTTCTTTCTGCAGCGAGTCTTATGCTTGGTTCTAAATATTTGTTTATGTAGCTGTTCTTTTCTTGTGTTGTAGTTTGTTCCTCTGACTATAAATTACATAGATCACTGAAATGCTGATGCCATTTCTCTAGGATCATTTGTTGTTTGTTAAAGGAGACTCCCATTCTGTCAAATGTAATTTATGTTAGGTCATATTGCTTGTTCCTAACTCTCAATGACTTCCCAAATGTATTTAGACAGTAGCCAGCTCACTAAGTTCACTGACTGAAATGACATGAAACTAATTATAACACAAAATTACTGGGTTTTTTTTTTTTTTTTTTTTTTACTGCTTATAACAAAATCAATTCATTAAAATGTTTAGTTTCTCAGTTTAAAAAATATTCACACCAAGATGAGAGATGGACTGGTGGAGATTTATTGCAGCCAATTTTTATTATGGATTCAGTTATTGCGTGTTTAGGATCTTTCTCAGATCAAGATTGAGGTTCAAGATACCTTTAACTGCCAATAAACATCACTTTTCTGACTTGTCTATACTGATCTGTTGATGAGATGCAGAGTTTATGCTATTGGTTGTTTTTGCACCTGCACAAATGTTCAGGAGATTAAGATATGAATTCATTAACTAAATATAGCAAATAGGGGAGTTTTTCTTTAAACCAAATTGTTTTATTAAAGCCAAGTTGATGCCAAATTGTCCCTAAGCCTCAGGGATAAAGGTCATAGGGACATGGCATGAGTCACAGATACAATTGTTTTTTTAAGGCCCTATACATGTTTTGGATTTAATGCTTCAGCCTTTTCCTGTTTATTGACACTTTCTTTATATAGCCATACATATTATGAAGAAACAATTTTAAAATGTAGATAAATATAAATTTTATAAATTTATTAGTGCCTGCTTTAAAAAAAAAAATGTAATAATTTGTTTTCTGGAGTTCTACAGGGTCATTCATGACATAGTCTTCCAGGGGTGAGAAGGTAACTCAACTTTTTTCCTAAGCTCATTCTGGTACTAATTTTTCTTTATGCAAGTAGGCAATGTAAATTACAACAGAGATCATGAGTAATATCTGACAGTTCCTGACTGACAGAGGTCTACAATGTAACAAAGCAAAAAATAATACTGCTGTTAGAGAAGTCTGGCAATCTCTGTAAGTACTCATGTTCTTTTAAGGTTAAAATGTTTCAAACATTTCCAAAACAGTTTATCCTCTAAACATTATATTTAGCTAATCACTGAATAATTAATAGTAGTAGATAAAGGATAGCAGCAGGGGCAGTTGTGTCATTGTAGCAGTAGTGGTGGTGCTAGTGGTGATGGTAGTAGTGATGGTAGTAGTAGTAGTAGTAGTAGTAGTAGTAGTAGTAGTAGTAGTAGTAGTAGTAGTAGTAGTAGTAGTAGTAGTAGTAGTAGTAGTAGGAGTAGTAGTAGTAGTAGTAGTAGTAGTAGAGGTGGTGGTTGTGGTGGTAGCAGTGGTAGTAGTAGTGGTAGCAGTGGTAGTAGTAGTAGTAGTAATAGTAGTAGTGGTAGTAGTAGTGGTAGTAGTAGTGGTAGAAGTGGTGGTGGTAGCAATGGTGGTAATAGTAGTGGTGGTAGTAGTAGCAGAAGTAGCAGTGGTAGTGGTGGTGGTGGTGGTAGCAGCCGCAGCAGCACTAGTAGTAGCAGCCGCAGCAGCAGCAGTGCATTTCAAAATTATGATACACAATTTAAATGCTGATTAGCTCAAGTAGCTTTATGTGCAAAATACTCATGTGTTAATTTTGTTAAGAAAATGTGGAACCTGGTAAAGATCATTAGATCCAGCCAAGAAAATTGATGATCCATTGTTGAGATTCATGAGAGAACATCCAGCACCCATGCTAGCAACTTTTTGTCTGGCAGACTGCTCAGTTCCTTCTTCTAGACTCCATACTCTAAGCTGGCCAACAGATCCAACCCTACATCATAAGGAGAGAAACTTATTTGAGAATTTTGCAAGATAAAATTGTATTTTTTGTGTGTTAAAAACAATTAATTCTTTCAGTTCCAAACAATATACCATGTGTGACTAGGCATTACTCAAATACATCCTATGTTTAGTCAGAGCATAGAACATCACTATAGTAATGTCTACAAGAAATATGTGCTTGAACCTTGTGGAAGTAGTACGCCTATGCCAGGCATATTTCACTGTGTTTCATCAGTTGTGTTACTATAGCATTATATCAACATATAATGAACCATTGAAACTAAATAAATTCCACTGAAAACAAATGGTTTCTCACAATGCATCATTATCTAGTTGCCAGAAGTTCAATTTAGTCCAGTGACTTAACAGGGTGGTAAATCTCCTTCTGCTTACATAAGAGGGCTGTTAATTTTGATTGCATTCTCAGCATTTGCCTTACATGAGTTATGAGTTAGATTATTTTCACAGAACTTTGGACACATCCATAGGCGCTCAGATTCCCCTCTCAACATATTCATCAGCATTGTGTGGTTAATAGTACCAGTCCTATGTTGGTTAAAAAGTCTTTGTGTGTGTCCAGTGTGCTTGTCATGCTTGGCTGTGCTGATCTTTACTCCCAATTCACATATTCTTAGAAGTGATTTGCCCCTTTTAACCCTATTGCCCTTTTTTCTTAAAGAGCATGTGGTGCAAAGGGTGGTTCAGATCTGAGCTTATTTTGAGGTATGCCTTACATAAGAGGGTTGTTGGTTTTGATTGTTAAAGCTTCAGCCACTCTCAGTATTTGCCTGTTCGGTGTGTGGTAAATCAAACAAAGGACGGTCCTTGTCACTTATATGTCCAGAATAAAGAAAAGGATGTTCTATAGATGCACATTTTGGTTCAAAGATTTATGTCATTCAAATATGGAGCCAGAGCAGCTTAGTGATGCTGGCTTGAGAACCAGCTGCATACCCACAGTTGTGACTCATACATGTTCAGAAAGGTGGTGACAGGTAGATTCCATACATCCATACGAGAAAGGAGACAATATAACCAGCTTCTCATGGGGACAATTAGTAGAAGTACTTTGGAGTGGCTGCTGCTTCGGAGAACTGAGCACGCATGGGTATGCCCAATGTGCAGTGACATTAATTGTGATAACAAAACATAAAATAACATCTTAGTAGGGAGTCGCCAGTACGAAACCCAAGTTCAAAGTGTCTCCTTCGTGCCAAAGAACTGCATGGCTGTTGGGTGAACAGTCGTTAACGATGGCAGGCAGGTCGTTGTAGGGGCGACGCCTGCTGGTGGATGTAATGTCCTAAGTCCCTTCCCCAGCTAATAATGAGGGTACTGCTGGGGTGACCGTTTATTAACCCTCATATAATTCTTCCGGTCAAAATGGACGCTAGGCACGGCCACCTTTTTTTTTTTTAAAAGCCGTGGCAAATATGTTTTTTTTGCCAGACGGTGGCCGTTGCATTTTTGCTCCATTTGTAGACTGGAAGGATGTAGTTTCGTCGCCCAGCTTCTGAGTTGAGTGCATGGCGTGACACTGTGAGCTGCATTTGTTTTTCGGTGGCACAGGAGCGGAGCATCTGTGGGGTGACCCGTTTGCTATGAAGCTGAAACTAGGATTACCAGATTACCAGATTCCATACATAGTGGTGAGCATGACTTCAGAGGTCCTGTGTAGTTAGTATCCTTGCAAATTTTGTCCAGAGTATGCAGGTGTGTTGGGAAATAACAGGCAGACAGACTGGCTGGCTCTGCACCACCCTGTGGCAAACTGATGCATGACAAGCTAGATGTTGTTTATACAACAAGTATAACAAAATAAAAAAATAAAAAGAGCATTCCCTCATGAAAACCAACAACTCACAGTATTACACCAGGCAGTGATTTCAATAAATTCTAGCTCAGTGTTGTACTCAAAAATATGAAATGTCTACTCTTAAGGGGTTAAAAGAGACACTAAGGGACAAATTAAATTAAAAGTAGGGGTTGATATAACAAGTCTTAGTGAAAGAATTGAGCAAGAACAATATACCCTCCTTGCTTTAACTAAAAAGAAAATTAAAAACATGGTCAGTTGTTTGGTACCCAAAAATGACTGTGGGATGCCAAGTACCGCTCTGTAGTGTTTGAACACGCAAGCATTTTCAAATGTGCTCACCTAATGATTTAGTTACAACAATTCATGTGAAATTATTTGAACAACCACTGATATTTTAAGAAATACACTTTCTTCTTACCGTCTGGCAAGTACTTGATACCAGGTGTCTGTTTTTAATGGTTGGTCATGTGCTACTGAACCTCTGCCTTTCCCAGAATTCCAACTCAGACGAACCTCTTGGTTTCTAATCTCTGCTGCTATAAACTCCTGATGAATATTAAATATGATAAACGTTTTATTACATTACTCAATGAGAGGTTAATACAAAATATAAAAAAAACTACATAAAACAGAACCAGCTCTTCAATATAAGCTTCAAACACCCACATTTATAGGATTGACATTTGACACTAGTTGAAAGAAAAAGTTGTATATCAATAGCTTTTTCAAAACTCTCAGATATGTGTGAGTGTGTTATACACACACATGCACCCATGCACATAGGCATTCACACACACACACACACACAGCATGCACACACCAGTAGTCAAACAATGACACCAATTAAACAGTTTCTTAGTATGTAAGACTGGAATTGGAAAAAAAATGGAAGACAATTACTCTCACAAAGATCAGAGACATGTTTAATTAGGTATTATAGTTCTTTAATAATCACAACCTTCACATTTTGCTATTAAGTGTCAGGGCAAATATTTAGTGGTCTGGTACATGTTGGTGGGCACTATTATTTATTTTATGTGAATGTACCATGCATTTAAAACCCTTTTCTTACTGGGCACCTTCCTGTTCTGATATCATCTGTGCACTGATGTAGCACCAGTGTTAGTAACTCGTATTGTTTCATTCTAACAAGAATGCAGCAACTGATCTTCTGCTTCTCAGTATTTTTTATAAGTGTTTTCAATTTCCCCATGTGGATTGTCAGCCCCTTTGTGGAGAAAACAAGAAGAGACCCCTGCCTACCAACAAAACAAAAAGAAGCATGACGTCAGAGTCGACTAACAGGACGCTTCCTTCCAAGTCAGAGTGCTTCTGCCTGAGAGGCAAGGAACCAACAGTCTGCTTACAAATAAATCAGATCTGTAAACTGGGTGTGCATGCAACACTTCGGTTCTGGAACAAATCTAGATCCAGAAGCGGACAACCAAACAGAACTTTCCGCTGGAGTTTACAGCTAGGAAAGTGAAAAAGAAGAAGTTATGACAATTACTCTTAAACCAATATTTCACAGTTTTTAATGGTTCAATTGGCAGCTTTTCTCAGGCATCTTATCTTACAAGGGTTATGGTATTTGAGTTCTGTTATAGGTCTAAGTTTAGCGCTTATGGTCAACAAACTCTCATATTAACATAATTATATACATGCTATAGGGAAGATGGAACTCACTGACGGCAATGATGGTTCGCTTCAAGCACTTTCAACACTTTTGTCTCCACAATATCACACCTACTTATTTATCTCCTCCCATTTGTATTGATGTCTAGCTCTTCCTTCATTGCTTTAAACTGTTTCCTCTGATATACTGTTTTTAACAGTTCATGTCCTTTAATGCAGTCAAGGTGTTTCATTTCTTCTTTTATTTGTTTCATTTATTTGTAATAACCGCCTTCTATTCATTCCATCATTATCTAGAAATTCCACATTTATTACATTTATTTACTTTAAATGCTGTTTTTATTTTTACATTTCCCTTCTCACAGTGTAGATAACAGAACACATCTATTATCTATAAAATGCAAGCCACAAATAAAGTGGATTTCTTTATGTTGTGTTGACGTCAGGTTGATGTCAGGATTTCATTCACACTAGATTGCTACCTTCGGGATGCTCTTGTTTCTCTTACTATTGAAAACTCACATGTCAGTAGAACAATATTTTGATGTTTTAACAAAAATTATGTTTTTCTTTTTTTTTTTTTACCTGAGGCACATGAATAGCTAGAAAAAGTGCATTTAGTGTTTAATAAGAAATGCTTAAAGCATACAACTACAGCATGATTTGCAATAACAAATGTATAATAATAGTGAAAATTAATTACACTATATTTAAAAAAAGCAATTAATAAATGAATATATGCTAATTATAAAATATGTGAGTATATACTAATATATGTTTAACAGACTCTAAATCCTGGCCAAATTGCAAACAGGTCTAGAATGTATAGCTGAAATACTACAAAGAGCAAATAATACAAAATTCTCACATGTTTATGGAAATATTTTTACAACAACCATAAGATTACATTTTAAGCAAAAATTCTAAGCTTTTCAAATGTGGTGTTTTCCCTAATTTTATCAGAGATTTCATAGCTCTAGCCAGTCAGTTACAGTGCTGATTACCTGTTGTGTTTAAAAAAAGTTCAGTGCTGCCATTACCTCCATTTTCTTTCCAGTTTAATTATTTCTTTTATACTCCCTCTTTCATGTGTAAAGTGCTCTTCTCAAGAATCTAATTTCACCTATCTACTTTTTCTTTTTTCCCTTTTTTTCTGTCATTTTCCTAGTTTAGCACTGATATCAAGGGGGTTTTTGTTATATCTATGGATGAATGTGCTTTTTTTTTTTAAAGTATTGCTGTCCAGTATTGTTTCATGTCACATTACTTTCACACCTGGCTCAATTCATTTATGATAATGTAATTAAGATTTTGTTGTTGTTGTTGTTGTTAGCTATTAGTGCTTCAACATCCATAAATAGCAGTTCATTGATGTCGTCACCATTAGTTAATCAGAATTCTGTTACCACTGGGATACCTTTGGATTATGAGTGCTTTCATTATACATTTTATCAGTATAAGTTACAAATAGTAGGGGAGACACATTCCAGATCTTACATTATACAGGTATGTGAGAACATAGGAGTTCATTGTAAAAGTTAAAGGAATTACCATTAGCACAACAAAGCATGGCATATCATATTATATCTGGTTTGAGATGTCTATGTCTGTGACTTAGGCACTACAACATGCTTTTTAAGGCCGGGTTCAATCCCAGCTGCAGGCCTTGTGCCTTGCATTGGTTTTCACAGTGGTATCGAGAAACCGACCATCCAGAGAGCAATGGCAAACTACTGGATGTAAATTTGACTAGAAAAACCAACAGCCAAAAAATTCTTGCTTGACAATCAGCTGCACACAATTGCTGTGATTGTAACAGACTCATAAAGCACACAGAGAAAGGCAGATACAAGAGTGCTCAGTGCAGAGTGGCGCAAATCGCTCCAGAGTAGATGGAACCCTTTGGATTATTTTCTCCAGCGCACACAGGTGTGTTGGGAAGTGAAAAGGCAGATAGACTGGCTAGTTCTGCACCACTCAGTAGTGAAATGATGCATGACAAGCTAGATGTTATCAAAGCCCTTTAGGAACAGTGCAGAGGCGTAATCAAAATATCAGTATGAAGAGAATAATGCAACAAGTAATGACCAGGTGAACTGGCCGGCACTCCACACTCAGAGGAAAGGCTACATTGACATCCAATCAGACTGCTACTGGTACCACTGGAGTTGGAACTCTTCACTGGTTGCTGAAGATGGGGATGGCATACTTATGGGAACGTCATGAGTGCTGTGATGTTGGTTCTTGAAACTCAGCTCAACTCAGCTCAGATTAATGTAGGGACAGGATTAGGTATAACTACCTTGAAACAGTATTAACACCTGTAGAGATCAAAACAAGAATTGCCGTGGCAGAAGGAGTCTTTTGCAAAATATACAAACATACAGAAAAAATATTTCAAATACACACACACACACACACATAAAAATAGGGGGGGGGGGGGCAACCATTTTAAATGGGAATTATGGTTTCTGAGAAAAATATAAAGAATATAATGAACCGCCAGAAAGATAAATGAGGCAGATGAAAACTGTAAACTAATCTAAGAAATTAACTCTAGACAGTCATGATCGTTTTGGTAAGGAGAAATTTACTTGTTGAAAATTTAGTGACAACTGGCAAACTGGATGAAAAGAAAGCAAAGGGAAGACAAAAAATAACACTGAAAGATGATAATAGCAATCATTTGCAATAGCAAACCATATCTGTTTAAGTTTAATGGCAGTGCATTTGATGATGATCGATAGAGATCTCTCTTTCTCTTTTAGTTTTATAACACACCCATATTTTGCACCCCACTATAATTATACATCCTTTTCAGGGTGCCTACTCTGTCTATCTCTCTAAATGTCACTTCTATTCCCATCCCATATCTATTCACCAAGGGGTGGTGGATAATTTATCTGTGATAACTAAATAAGCACAGAAATCCTTATTCACATCAAATTGTTAGAAACTGCACGAAGAACCTAGATTAGAAATCTTCAACTGTATATTCAATTAGAATATGTGTAAAAGGGGCTCACAAAAATTATATATTTCAAAACAATTATTAAACTGTCATTATACTGTTCTCGCATGACTGAAAAGCTTTTATAAGAATATTTAATATTCCTATATTTAAGAACCATTTATGGGCTTCACTGTAACTCTGTAGTAATACACATGATGAGACAGTGAAATGTGCCAAGAAATAAACTGTGTCCACATTATTTGAATATATTTTATAGGTTGTGTTTCTTAAACTAAATAAATACATTTCTTATAAAGGGAAGTATAGTACAGCCTAGGTCTAGCATGTGTTCTAGATGCAACATGACTAGGAAGACAGTATAACAACTAAAGGAATGTGGCATCTGATAGATTTAAAAAAAAAAAAAATAGTGGAGAAATAATACTTCTAGCAGAATAGTGTAATGACTCCAAATAAAAAAGGTAAAGTGAAGGACCCTTTTCCATGCCTCAGGTATATCAGGAATCACTCAAAGACTGATGATGAATTCTACAACTATGTTTCATATGACTTGTTTAATAAACACCCATGCAAGTAATCTGACCTAGCCTTGGAATTACTCAGACAATGAATTCAGTAAATTTCATCTGCACAGAATAATAGTCAGGTAACTGAGATTTCACAAAGAATGCTCAAAGTTAAAACCACAGAAAAATTATTAAATTTAGTCAGGTCTTCCAGTCACAGTTAATCTAATAAAACAAACTTACCTTTCAACAATCTGTAACCAGTATTGTCAAGAAGGCTTATGCAGTGATTGAATAATGACATCAAAGTTAAATTTGAGCCATGTATTAGCAGTCAAAAATGTTTAAATTTCTCCTTTAGGCATTTCAAATCAAATTAGATTTATGAAACATTAGTCCTTTTTGTTGTTGTTGGTTTTTTGCTGAATGTCTGGACTTTGCCACAAAAAGGAAATATCGTTTTATATCAAACATAGCTAATCTTTCACAAATGTAATCTCCATTTATAGTTTTCTCATAAAACTACACACACACACACAAAAAGCATGCACGCACTTACACACGCACGCATGCACACACACACACACACACACACAAATGTGAAGATGCTGGTTTTTTTTTTTTTTTTTTATCATCAAAATATATTATCAAACAGTCAGCAAGTAATTAGGTTTTGTATCAATGGGATCATCCTTTTAAGGGCTGCAATATCCAAATGGGCAACAACAAAATGTAAACTAATCTACATAACTAAAAGAAATGTAAAACATTCCAATAAGTGGCTTTAATCAGTCTTTTTTTTTTAAAACACACACGCACACTTGTGCTGGAAACTGTTTTTAACTAATGTTTCTAACTTCTATTTCAAAAGACCTAAATTCTGAAATTTGAAACTGTAAAATTTACTTGTGTTAACGACATTAAAAACTATAAACAGCATAGCTGTTATAAGAAATATGAAATAAAATTATAATACATTAAAATTATTACTAGATGAATAGCAAAGATTATTATAAATGCAAATATGCACACACCAGTCAGCGCAATGATGATACTATTTTATTTTTGTATTTAAGAAAGAGTTTTCTTATTTTTGGCTTTGTAAAATAAGATTTATCATACAAATCTGTAATTGTATAAAAATGAATGACTGAGTTTGTGATAACAATTATTCACTTTACTATGAAGAAAAGAACTCAGTGTAACAATTACATTACAATGCAATTGCGCTGCCATAATAATGAAAGCTTTATTTCATAATTAAATGTAGCATAAGAAACGAGCTCACCTCTCCGATCTCCTACAGGACATACATGTACACATGAAAACAAACAAGAAATCCCAACTTGTAACACACTTGTAAATTGCTATGAAATTCTAATTTAGAATATATTCATTGTAATCTCTGACTGACTCCATACAATTTCTCCTCTTCATCTTCCCATCATTTTCCTATAGATAAATGATTCTGTTTATGGTCTTTATTGATATCATTATAGAGGACTTTTGGGGCAGTGAATCCACATCACTCGCCAGAATGGCAGACTTGGCAATTAAGATCGGCACAGCAAAAAATGAGACACACACCAGACACGCCAGAAAACTTGTTAATCAACACAGAACTGGTACTATTAGCCATCGGACGTTGGGGTTCATACTGAGGGCAGGATCTGAGCACCTATTTACATGTCCGGAGTGCAATGATGATATCCCAACTAACTAACTAACTAACTAACTAACTAACTAACTAACTAACTAACTAACTAACTAACTAACTAACTAACTAACTACTTGATATCGGTAATTTATAATATATTTTTTTAAATTTATTACCAAAAATTGTGGCATAAAAGTTGAGTTTCAAGCCTAAAATTATATTTCTAAAACTAGGGGTCAATTTATATTATGGGTATAAAATTTGTCTGGTAGGTATATGTCTAACTTAGAATTTTGAGCTTAAAATCTTAAGGTTGGCTTGTACCCTGCAATTTACCGTATATTAGCCTACCTGATCTGAAAGTCCACTACTGTTCCTAACATGTTTTACACATGTAAACTAATTCCTTTATGTGAATCAATTGCTACTTTAAACCACTTGCATATCCTGTTCAGCACATTGCAAATCAGCTCCAGCATTTGTTGGCTGTTTGCAGATTTACTAGATAATTTTACATTTGGTAGTTTGCCATTGCTTCCTGAATGGTACAATGCTCATTGTCAAAATCAATGCAAATCTGCAGTATGTCACCAAAATGCCTACAGCTGACTGACACTCCTAGTATGTCAGGACTGTGAAACTGAGTTCCCATCATTTAACTCTTTCAGTCCCAGGGGTTTCATATCAGAGGTCCAATGGGTAGTAGAGAGAAAGATCAAACTGGCAGACATTGCATTCACTACGCTTCTATGTAGGAACCTATTAACGCATGTTTTCCGTGGGATTGAGTTAAGTCACAGATGCCAACATTAATGAAAACAAAACATATACTGCCAAATAAATGTACCTATTTAGAGAACAGAATTTACTAGCTATTTAAAGCTTCTTTGTGAGTAAAATAACATTAATTAATAGTTTAGAACAATGATCAAATAGGAGAAGAATGAATTTAACAACAACCATCTGAGGGTAAAGTGTGCTTGCAAACAGCTCTCAAAGAAGTAAAATAGCCCACAGATGTCACTGCAGCAAAAGACTGTATCTTCCTATAAAGAAGTTTTGTGCTATTTTAATTTGGACACATGCTGGATTTCACAAGTATTTCGTCTGAGAATAAAGTCAGAAACGACACTCATGGAAGCAGTAAATACATAAAAAATCATTAGAAATAAAATATATACATAGAAGCAACAATTCAATAAATCAAACAGATTTCATTAGGATTATATTTAAAAGGAAAGTAGGCAACACCGACAACCAGGGAAACACAAAAAGAAAAACAGCACAATAATTCTATTATTCACATAAGAAATAATCAGCAAAGACTGCTAAATAATTATGGTATTCATACCCACACAAAAAAAGTAAGTCAAATAAACTGTCTGATATGTATAATTAGTAGGGAAATAAACTGTCTTTAGTTAAATGATATGAAAAATATTTAGATTAATGTGACAAATCGGTGCAACAATCATGAAATCCACATGAGAAAAACGTATACAGATTAACTTGTTGAGTCCCAAGGTGTGCATCATATATTCATAGAAGCTCAATGAATGCAAGATGTGCAGATGTTATGACTTTCTTTATTACCCCTTGGGCCTCCAATGCAAGACCCCATGGGATTGAACAAGTTAAAGCCCTTATGCCGAAAAAAAAGGAGCAAATAGGAAAGAAATTCCTTTAAAAAACAAAATCTAAATCAAGAATAGACTGCCCTTTTGTCAGCTTCACATTGAAGGTTAGTTGTTTTTGTTTTGAGCTTTGATACTCATAATCAATCACAGAAAATTGTTTCGCAAGATTATCATTCAGAAAGATGATGGCAACAATAATGACAATGAAAACAGAGATGATGCTGACGGTTCTGAAACTCAATAAAAATGAATGCACAACAGATAACTATCATTGTCTGTTAATGTTTTAAACATTCATCTTGCATCCTATTAACACTTTACAAGATATACTTAACTAGTTTTCATAAATATTATTGATAAATGTAATTATAAATCAAGCATAAGTACTTACATGATATTCTGGAATGTGCTTAGAGCATGCATACCGTACTACATCAAATCACAACATCATGAAGATTCATAAAACATTTTTTGATATCTAACACTGATTTTTAAACAAGAATATGACTAATTATAAATAATTCAGTGACATTTCTCACCTGTGGAGACTGCTGTAACAGAAGAATCAACATGTCTGACACCGAGTGATTGAGTGTGAAGCTGAAGCGGATCTCATTGGTTGAACTAGGCTGTAGAGGTGAGCGATACGATCTGTAACACTGACCATCTGCTTGCAAAGACATTTTCATCTGCAGATAATTTAAATATGTTTATGACATGTTAAACAGATGTCAGACATTGTCAGCTGTTATTTTAGCATGCTTCGATTTCAATTATAACTTGAAAATAAAAAGTGCCAGGTGAAAATACACCAGTGAAAAAACAGTTAAAGTAGTTACAGAAACAAAGTCAGTGGATGTAATACTGGGTGAGTCATATAGACTGAAGAAATACATATCCTGTGTTGAGTCACTGATACAGTTGTGGTGTGTTGCTGGGTCCTAAATAAACTAATGTCAGGTTGAAGGTCACATCTCCAAGCACTTACCAACTGCACACCTTCACAGTGTGTGAATCAAGAGCAATCAAATGTTTTAATCCAGATTTATGTCAGCCAATCTATTGTGCAATTTGTTTGTGTCTTTTTGTTTAAAAAATAATAATGTTAATTTAAACAGCTCGTTACTACTGTGGTGTGATTGCTAACTGCTTGTCTGTGAGTCTGAATGTTGTGGGTTCAGACCCAAATCAAGCCATAAATTTTTATTTTAATTATTAAAATCACCTTGGCTGCCAGGCTGACAGCCTAAAATGGGCACTAGGTAAAGTCCTGGCAACTGGGTTGGCCATCATGATGTTGACCTCATCACCCAGTGAGGGCTGACTGGTCTAAAAAGCATTGTTCAGCACCATATATTCGGTACATCAAAGGGCATGAAAAAGGGTCCCTTACATTTTTTTTTTTTTTTTACATAAAATCAAAACTAGTTAGTTAGTTAGTTGGGTTATCCTCATTGCACTCCGGACATGTCCATAGGTGCTCAGATCCTCCCCTCAGTATGAACCCCAACGTCCGATGGCTAATAGTGTCAGTTCTATGTTGATTAACAAGTCTTCTGGCGTGTCTGGTGTGCGTCTCGTTTTTTGCTGTGCCGATCTTAATTGCCAAGTCTGCCATTCTGGCGAGTGATGTGGATTCACTGCCACCAAAGTCCTCTATCCTTCCCATTTCTCTGAGGGCATTAATAATATCAGCATGATCCATAGGCTGACCGTCGGTAGTGATAGCGGATCCAGCCAACCTGTCAGCTCTTTTATTTCCATCGATGCCTGTGTGTCCCGGAACAAAAATAAAGGTGACTCCAACACACAAGTGGACTTCTGTAATGATTCAAGCCATTGTCTATGCACTGAACCTGCCTGAACCCTCCGGATCATACTCATTGAATCACTGAGTATACACACGCGGGTGTATTTTTGTGTTTCAAGCCAGGCAAGCGCTTGCGTCAAAACTACTTATGTGACTTCCAATGTAATGTGATATAACTGATAAATTCAGCAATCAAATTGATTGAACTTTCTATGTGTTATTTTCCACCAATTTTCAAGTGTGTAACAAATTATCTGCATTAAGTTAATAATATGCTTTTAAAAAGTTCAATCAGACATATGCCATCTTTCTACTTAAAGTTGGCTGCAATTAATTTATAACCCCATCGGCCAAATGGTTTAATTTCCCACTCATACAGGCTTCTGTAAATTTGTCTCTCAATGTTGTCAACCTGCATTTATCATTGTTTTAGTTTCGACTGCTTTTCTTCCATTACATACTTTAACAAGAAAGTATGTTCCTTTATTGTCTTAAACATTCTGCAAAGCTATGTTAAAGTTTTAGAAGACCCTTTGCCACACCTTCAGGTATATTGGGAATTTGGTGCTTGATCTATATTTTATAGGCCAATCAGCACTTGGTGGCTAGTGGAGTCAAACTCACACTGGTCGCCTTCACTTCTCAGGACTTTTACTATTTAAGGTTAGATCAACCTGGCAGCAATGGTTATTTAGAGAAAAAAAGGGCCTAGATCTGAACCCAGGACCTTTGCATGCACAAGCACATCTAGCTGCTACACCACAGCAGCACTTTACAGTAATAGTTAACAAATTAAGACTGCACTTTGTTATAATTATAAAATATATCCCCTAAGTAAGAAATACTTCCACTCACATCATTTACTCTGCTTTGAGCATCTCTAATTTTTGCTCTCAGTCTTTCCAGATCTTCACTCAGGTCTGCCAATTTCCTGTTTACAACTTTGGTCTTATCATCAACCTTGCGCTCTAGTTCTAGCACCTGCTTGATGTCTTCAGCAAAGCCTTTAACTCTTGCAACTGAATTTTAAAAAATAGTGAAAACATTTCAGAAAAAAATATCCAAATGACAAAATGTTTTGAAACTAAGAAACAAACAGTCTATGTTGGACAGTGGTGATGAAACGGACAATAGTTGGAGAACAAAGGAGATATTACTTCAACTGACATATTTCCATGGCCTGTGTGGGGGGCATTCCTGATTGCTGTGGTGCACCTCCTGGCTGGTTGCCTCCGATTTTAGCACCTTGTTTTGCTAGGGTAGACTGTGATCATACTTGAGGAGAGTAGGCTCATTCCTTCGTCTTTCGCCTCATTTGTTGTCCCATCCAGTTTCCCGCTGGGTGTTGAGACCCCAACCTTCAGCTGGATTGCTGAAAAGAACAGGGTCCACTACGTGAAGGTGAGGTAGGTTTGAGCAAGAGAGGCTAATAGAATTAAGAGTTTGTATTGCACATCACTGCTCCATTAGGACCCCATTAGGAGCCATGTGCACATGTGGAAAGGTGCTCCAGACAGCAGAGCATGTACTCTAGGACTGCACCAAATTTGACCAGAAAGAACAACAGTGGAACGTAAACTCTATGGACCACTGAATGAACTAACAACGACAGTGAAATTTATACAAGAGACAAAATTGCTGATATAGGAAACTTATTTCAGGCAAATGAAAGAAAGAAGAAGAAGAAGACTTCAATTGACATTACTAACTACAAAAAAGTTCTTTTAGACACTTGTATTAAAAAATCAAAATAACACACAGCTGTTGTTTCCACAAAAGTGTACACACAATCAATGTAACATATCAGCAGGAGAGAGAGAGAGAGAGAGAGAGAGAGAGAGAGAGAGAGAGAGAGAGAGAGAGAGAGAGAGAGAGAGAGAGAGAGAGAGAGAGAGAGAGAGAGAGAGAGGGGGGGGAAGAGAGAGAGAGGGGGAGAGAGAGGGGGAGAGAGAGAGAGAAAGAGAGACAGACAGACAGACAGACAGACAGACAGACAGACAGACAGACAGACAGACAGACAGACAGACAGACAGACAGACAGACAGAGAAAGAGAGGGTGAGAGAGGGTGAGAGAGAGAGAGAGAGAGAGAGAGAGAGAGAGAGAGAGAGAGAGAGAGAGAGAGAGAGAGAGAGAGAGAGAGAGAGAGAGAGAGAGAGAGAGAGAGAGAGAGAGAGAGAGTTGCCTTACTTTCAGTTCCAATTTCAAAGTTAAAAGCTCTGATATCAAGGTTAGTGACCTCATCCATCTTTGAATCAAGCTCAGTGTTGTTTATCCTTTTCACAAGTGCTAGTGCATCTCTGATAGTTTTCTCTGTGTCAGTATTTCTTGTATCTAGTTCAGCAAGTCTGGTACGGATATCTAATGAAAAAAAAAAAATAGAATTAGCTCAAAACAGTTTGGTTTTAAGTTGGACTGGCAGGGAACTGTAGAGACAGTGAACACCTAACACATAAAAAACTAAAAAGCAAGTAAAGAAGGTATACGGTGCTATTCCCCTATTGTATAGAGAAATCAGCACTAGACTGGTGATGTCATTTATATCAACTATTTTAAGCCCGAGCCACACTGTGTGTTGACTGAGAAGATCTGATTTTGCCAAACCACACAGTTAACATTGATTGTGTGTCCCGTACATAATGATTCGAGTACTGTTCCAGATTCTTTTTTATGTTTGGAACTACAATTAAAATGTTCAGGGAAAGTTTCTCTAACACCAACATTTTCACTTTGTTTAGAAGTCTTTGTTCATATATTGAGCCACAAATTGATCTGATTGATTGCTAGTATCATTTTCAGACAGTTAATTTTCTGATTTTGCCATCTACTGGCCATGGATACAAATGTTCAGAACACAAGCACAGGCCGCAAAATGTGCCTTAATGTGGTCAGGTGTTTTTAATTCTGATAATTATAATGAAAACTTATAACTGTATGGAAAGTGATTCAGTTAATTTACACCAGTGGTAGCTGAGCAGTCCGCTGTTAAAGAATCTATCAGTTTTTGTTAGGTAAACCCAGAAGGACCCATTTCATTTGCGAAGGATGTGATAGTCAACAACATTTGCTTCCAAAGGACTGTTTCAAACACTACCATGCTATGGGTAAGCTGCATTGAAATGTGTGCAACTAGTCTCTTTATAAACTGCACAAAGTAAATATTTTATGTATAATGGTCTATTTTTCTGTCATTTAATTTTTTGAAATTGTGTCAGCACTCTATGAGAACCTAGAGTCTCTGAGTCCTAAACTAACCCAGAAATATATCATAACTCTTGTATTTGTTAGAGAATAGAACAAACTTTAAAGTGTTATGCTCCAATTTTGGATATTCACTGTTCCTGTAAAGAATTTTATTTTGTAAAATTATGTCTTTGTAAAGACAACATTTGCTAATATTTTGTAAATACTAATTATAACAGCATTAAACAAAAACCTACCATCAGATTCATAATGTTCATTCCTTCTTCTTTAATTAATATGAATACTTTTGTGAGGATTAGAAATATATTACTTTGTTCATTGCCTTTTTTTAACACGGCCCCTCTCCCATTTTTATAAAGGGAAATTAATGCGAGCCAAGTCTGTCAAAATTCATGGGCCTGAAAGAGTTCAACTGGTCACCTTAACTTCCCAAAGAATTTGGCTTTACCTATTTTAGACTAGGTCAACGTAAAAGTCCTAGTCACAAGTTAAAAACTACTTTAAATAATATTTTGACCTTGTGCCCACCATGCCACAAGGCAAGCATGGTAGTCAATGCACAACATTTATCCCCACTTCACAATGGGCTTAACAAAAAAAAAAAAAACTAAAACAGATTAATTCTAATTCATATCCTCATATGCGCATACTTTCTTATATGAATACCATTATACAGCAAATTTATTTACGACATATAACAAGCTTATTTTCAGCCTTTTCTGTCTTTTTATTTTCTTATTTTCTTCTTCTTCTTCTTCTCTAGACCTGTTCTGCCTTTCAGAATCAGGTTTTAAAAAAGCATTGAGTGTGGGCCTTGGTATAAACTATGTAGATGCTGGTATTCACAACCTCAGATAATCCATGCATCCATCACTTGCACGCTCGACCTCTAGATCTGCTTCATTGACAGGGCTCTGTGGTGTAATATTATACTATACCTGATGGCAGAAGGTCCAGCTTCCGTTTAATTTCATCTAAAATATTTCTGCCTTTCTTTAAGTTTGATGCTGCATCATTCAGTTCACTCTGCACTCTTGACAAATTGTTTGCTAAATCTGGCACACACACAAAAAGAATATTCAGCAATAAGTAACATAAAATAAACAAGCATATCTTGAAATGATTACAGTTTGTACATACATGTAATTCTGAATATAACTCAAAGGTGAAGAATTTGAAAATGCCAATAAACACTAAATACCAGGGCTCCTCCACACATAATCATGGAGACTGTACAATAGAACTCGGGAGACTAATCTTAACTTCTTCTTCTTCTGCGTTCGACATCAGTCATGCTAGACATTGAGTCCCGTCTGGGTCACAAATAGGATTGTGCGTTTAAGGTCGCCACCGGTTCCCCATAGCTTCTCTTTCAATGTGGCTCCCTTGGGCCAGATCCACAGTTTGCTGGGAGAGGTTAGGGCAGTACTGTAGTATGTGCCCAGGGGTCTGTCGTTCTGCTCCACAATCACAGGCAGCAGATTCTTTTATGCCTATCCAGTACAGGTGTGCTCGAAGACCAGTGTCCAGTCCGAAGTCTAAAAATTGTTTTTTTTGTTATTTCCTGTTGAGTTTGTTTATGCTGTCACTCTCTGGTCTGTAATCTCCATTCTGCCTTCACCACTCCCGCTTGAAAGACTGCTTTAGCGCTGTTTTGGTTTCCTTGTAGCTGTGTGGTGGATGAGGTTGTGGAAGATTACTCCCAGCTTTTGCCAACTCATCTTCTCTCTCATTTCCTTGAATACCACAGTGGGCTGGTATCCACTGCAAGATCAGTTCTGCTTCCTTGGAGAGTAAGCCAATGTTGGTCCTTAGATCTACAATTAGTTTGTCTTGTTTTTTGCTTGATAGTGCTTTGAGAACAGACAATGAGTCACTAAGTATAACAATTTTGTGCCCTCTGTGTTCTTGATTGATGAGATGTTGGACTGCAGAAAGGAGGGCAGTTGCCTCAGCTCTGAAGTTAGTGCAGATGTCACCTGCTGGTAGAGAGAGAGTTTCTGCTCTACTGCTAGGGGGTTTAATGTATATTCCACAACCCCCCTTTCTGGCTGCTTTTGTAGCAAAGCCGTCGGTGAAAACCTGAGTCCAAGTGGTGTTTGGATACTTCTCATCAAGCATAGCAAGAGCCAGGGTTCTCTGTTGTGTCTCTGTCTGGGCATCTTTTGAAGTGATCCCTGGTACCGTTAGGACTACATTTGCCTTCTCTGGCTTGCTTGTCGGTGGTTCTGGCCTAAGTTTTTCGCACAGTGCTACATCACTTTCTAGCAGATGTCGGTGCTGTCTGTACAGTTCTCTAGCAAGGTGGTTGGGGCTCTGACGCTTCAGTCTGTTTTTTGTTCTCTCTTGAAATTTAAAATGCAGTGGATGACTTTCAAGTTTTTTTTATTTCTCATACTGTAAAAGAGTTTTGTATTTTCTCCTGAGTTCGAGTGCTTCAGTATCTGCTATCCTCTCTATCTCTCTGATGGGAGTGGTTTTCATCACTCCGAGAACAATCCTTAATCCCATATTCTGAACCTTGTCCAGTTTTCCCATTGTTGTCTTGCCTGCTGCAGCCCATGCAGTGGAGGCATATTCAATGACTTGCCTGACTGCTCCAGTATATACTTGTTGTAGGATTCTGGAGTTGGCGCCCCATGTGGTACCCGCTAATTTGTTCATCACTGCAAGCTTCTTGAATGCTTTCCCCTGTACTGCTTCTACGTGTGACTTCCAAGTTAGTCGCGAATCAAGTGTAACGCCAAGAAAGGTAGGAGTGTCAGTCTGTGGAATGAGCTGGTTTTTTATCCAAATTTTGATTTTTTTTCTTTTTTGGGGGAGAGAGAGAAAAGTGATGCTGTGCTTTTTGAATTATTTAGCTTTAGACCACACTTTTCGGTCCAGGCTTCTAAATTTTCCAGTTTTCTTTAACAGATATGAGGCTGTGGTAGTGTATTTGGAGGCTGTCCAAACTGCAAAGTCATCAGCATGTAAGGTATTATAAATGTGCTGGTGGCAGGTTGCTGTGATATCATTTATGTAAACCAGGAACAGAGTTGGTGCTATCGCACTGCCCTGGGGAACTCCTTCTCTTAGTTTTGCCAGTTTGCCGATGTGTCCATTAATTATGAATTTGGCTCTGCGTTGGAAAAGAAAGTCTTTGATCCACTTGTACATGTTGTGCACAACTCCTGCCTGTAGCAGTTTTAGTTGTAGGCCTTCTTTCCAAACTGTATCAAAAGCACAAGAGAGGTCAAAGAAGAACTTTCTTTTTTTCCTGGAAGGCATTCTCTATTTCTTGTGCCAGATGTGTCAACTGGTCCTCTGTGTTTCTGTGCTGTCTGTATCCTGTCTGTGTGGTGGTGATTACAGAGTTTGTCTCCAAGAACCACATTAGTCTTTTATTTACTAATTTCTCCATCAATTTTCCTACACAACTAAGAAGGCTGATGGGTCTGTAGCTTTTTGGGTCTCTTCTGTCTCCACCCTTTTTAAGGATAGGCTGGATGAGAGCCAAGCAGTGTTATGTTGTGACAAATAATGCTACTGTCCATTGGGCAATCTCATGCTGTTAAGTGCTGAGTTCTTTGTTACAGAGTCATCTTAATGTACTGACTGCTCCAGCACAAGGTTGGAAAAATAAATTGCGGTGATTAAATCGAATGAAACCTATTTGCCCCATGTCTGCCTATAACATCAAATATGCAATTTTAAACTCTGTCAAAGACCTAGATAAAGATGAGCTGATACGAGAAGAGTGATTCTTAATAGAACCAACAACAGAGCTCTCAGGAGAGTCCATAAGTGTTCCCTCTCCATTTCATATTGCAGTGTATAAATGCTACTCTCTCTAAACTCTGGTTAGATGTAATATGTGATAGTAACTGCTCCATTTTGAATTCTATGTTTGTTTAGTCTGTACAAAGTTGTCTTTCCCACTGTATTAGTTCACACTTTTTTTTTCAGGTCCAGTTGATTTTGGTCATCATGTCTGTCAAATGTTTTTTGTCACAGGTACTGCCAGTTACTGTTTACACAGATCTAACTCAATGATAATTTTTTTGGTTTTTCCTTGACTTTAACTTTTCATTTTGTAAAATGTTTCCAAAGAATGTAGTTTTATTTTTTCTGATGTGAGTAAACATTTTTCTTAGTGAGTTAATTTCTTTTAGGACGTGTTCATGAGTTGTTGTTTTTGTTTTTTTCAAAGTGTCCTGCTTTTCTCAGTCTTTTATGTGTTTTTTTATATTTGTGTTTGACATCAGCTATGAAAAACATTCAGTTCCATCTGGGTTACAATCAGAGCAGCCATCTAACGTCAGCCCTGGTCAGCCAGTCTATAAAACCTGAACTACAACAAAAACAAAACTAAAATTACTTATGAAAAATCTAAATGACACTGTACCATTTTGTAGGAAGAGCCAAAAACTACATAGTATTAACTGTCACACTAAACCTAAATTTGGTACTTTTGGTCAGTATTTACTTGTTAATTGTAGTCTCTTTGAAACCAGCTTCTATGGAAATAATGTTCCAGCTAGTACATGTATGTATTTTATAGTGGGAAATATGGAGAATATGCAGGTGGTGTCTGCCTGTACACAAATTGTACATGCAACACTGGACAATTTAAAAAACTTCCGTAATTTTTTTCTTTAAAAATTATGAAAACAATTAGTTTAAAAGACTTGATTTGATGCTTAGGAACTTGCCAAATTTATCTTTATAACAGTTTTTTACAGTCAGGGAATCTTACCTAATAATCATCATCATCATCAAGTGCCTTGCCGACTGGCATGGGCGATCATGCCTCTCTACAATCTGCAATCTCCTGCAGCATGTATTAGTTCTTACCTAATACAACTCACCTTTACTTATAATCATTAACCACTAATTACTGACTGACCTCTTGCAGTGTTCAGCAGACTTGTTGCCTCCCTGTCTTGAGCTTCACTCTTTCTGATTAGTCGTATAACTTCCTCTTTTAAGTCTTTTACTTTAGCCTGCAAAAAATAATAAAATACAGAAGGCTGCATAGATACGGTTTTTTTTTCAAGTTGCAGATAAATTTTTGATGAATGCTTAATATTGTTTAAAGTCGAGTACAAAAGCTGGAGAAGAATTTTGGCCTCTTCTTCACTTCCTTTTACTGCTGTGCGTATCGATGCAGATATACGAGGTTCTGTTTTTGCTCTTCTTGCTGCCTCAGCTAAAGATACATTATGCTGCTATAGAATTTCTCTGATGTTATCTTTCCATATTATTCTTGGTATACCTTGTGCTCCACGTCCTTCTTATCTTTTGGTGTATGCCTTGTATGGTATGGCATCACAAGGCATTCGCTCTAAGTGGGTAAATCATTGGATTTGCTGTCTTTGTATGTATTTTACAATTGGTTCTGTGCAGATCTTTTTTTCTTTTAACCTCATTTCTGATTTTCTCTGTTCTCTTTCTAATTTCGATGGTTGTTCATTTTCTTTTCTGGTTTGTTGTGAGTGACCATGTCTGGCACTGGCAGCAATAGAGTGGGAGTGCAAATGTTTTGAATGAGACATTTCTTTGTGCTGATTGGGATTGTCTTATGCTGTAAGGATGATGAAAAGGAAATGGGGTGAGGCGGAGGGCTAGCTGTCTTAATACTTGGACTGCTTTACTACATCTGATATTGATTTCTACAATTATTTTCGCATCTTTGATGCATGTTGTTCCAAGATATTTATTTGCAGATGCCTATTTAATGACTTTGCACACACTACTGCTATAATCAAGTTATGCTTCTTTCTTCCTATAACCATTACTTCTGGCTTTTCAGTGTCAATTCTCATATTATTCATTTTACATTCTTCATTAATTTAATAGATGTTAGATATTGTTACAAAGAAGAAAATTAAATCTGTGATAATGACAGGGTAAGAGACTAGTGTCATGTTCGAGTATCATGAATACCAATGTTTCAACCATAAGTACAGGCCGCAATATTCTTTTTTTTTTCAGCCGCTGAAGCTCTGAAATTGTTTTAGTCTGATGTTTTTAGTCCTAGCAACGATAACGAAAGTGTAGATTGTTCGGAAAATGATTGGGACGGTTAATTTTCACCAGCGGAAGCTGTTAGGGAATCTAGCAGTTCTGATGATTCCGTCACAGGTCCAGTATGTGACAATCACCAACATTTACGTCCAAAGGACTATTTCAAACAATACCTGACTATGGCTAAGCTACACTGAAATCATTGCAGCTACAGTCTCTATATAACTATACAAAGTAAATACTGTGTGTAATGGTCCTCTAGTCTGCCATTTTTTTTTCTTTGAAATTTTTTTCAGCACTCTGTGAGAATTTAGAGCCTCTGAGTGCCAAACTAACCTAGAAACCTATCTTAACTTTGAAATTTGTTAGGAAATTGAACAAACTTTTAAGTGTTTTTCTCAAATGTGGATATTCACTGCTCTTGTGGCTGCAAAACCATGGTAAGTGAAGATTTTTTTTTTTGTAAAATTTTGTTGTTGCGAAATTAACACTTGCTGATTTCTTGTTTCCTACTAACTATAACAGTATTAAACATATACTCATTATCAGATTTAAAATGTAAATTTATTTCTCTGTAAAAAAAATATATATATATACTTTTGTAGGGATTAGAAGTATATTACATTCTCTATTGCCTTTTTGTTTTGTACACAACTCCCTCTGCCAATTTTGTAATGGGAAATTATTGTGAGCCAAGTCTGTCAAAATTCATGTATCTGAAAGAGTTAACTAGCTGCGCACCCAATCCTAGCCTTCTGATGCTGTTCTGATGCTCTTGTTGTAGTAGAAAGCCATCTCCCTCAAGTCTTTATCCCTCATGTCCTTTATGTGGGCACACCTGACTCCGTCTGGCCATGATGCAGTCTCTTCTGCTGTCTGCAAATGTTTTATATTATCCACACTAATAATCACCTGACGTCAATTATCATTAATGGTATTCTGTAGATTATCCCTCAGTGAATTTCTATGTCCCCTATCATTATGATAAGTCTGTGCAATAAATCTCTAAGAAATGCTTCCCCCTTATCTTTGTCTAATGTCATGTGTATATCTGTATATGCGTACATAATGCCTGTTATGATTGGCCAAACCTACCTACCCAGCAATCTCTCCCCTCCAATTTCATTCGTAAAATGTTACCATTTAGTAATTTTTTGTTTGTGTGCATCTGCTGCACACCGCTTGAACAGCATGAATATATAAATATGAGATTACCAAAGATGCACTGAGGCAGGAAAAAAAAAGGCTTGCATATATTTTCTTTGTTTAGATAATGATTTAATCAGAATTGGCAGCTAAAATAATATAACAGTGACGCATCTAATGAACAAGTGTCATCAGAAGAGGATTAGAAAATACAACAGGAGAAAGACCCCTGGAGGTCATGACCTTGGCTAGCCTGACCTCTGGTATTATCCTTAGAAGATGGGGTTGAAACTTTCACAAAAGGTGGATCACATCTGATGCTCAGAAGCCTCTTGTTGTACTTCCTCCCTATGGAGTTTTGTTATATTATATATCATTACTTTCAGTTTAATTCTGCTTTAAAAAAAAAAGACTTACAATCTCAGCAGATTCATTAGCAGCAATCAGTGCCTCATTGGCAGACTTCTTGGCTTCATTAATGGCATCAACTATGCTTTTGTAAGCATTTGCTGCCTTCACAGCATTCTCTGACAAGTACCTGGTGCCAGCAAACAGCCTGAAGAAGTGTACACTTGTATTAGAAACAATTCATTTCAAGCTGTAGTAATGAATACTGAATAATAAATAATGAATACAATGAATACTGGTAGCATAAAGCTTTCCAAAACATAGTTCTTCTTTTTTTTTAAGATTTGCTTTAGTAGACAAAAGTCACAAGTGAAGTAAATTATCCCAGTACCTGATTTGTTTTGCAAATCATTTACTGATTTCTGTATCAATTTTTTTTCTTTCTGGGGTGACAATTGACCCCAGATATTTAAAATCCCTTGTTTGTTTTATCTCTATGTTATTGAATTTTACTGATATGGTTTTTGATATGGTTAATGAAAACAGTTATCCTTTATCAACATCAACATCCTGCAGTAGGTCTGTTGCAGTTTATCACTTTATGCACATCTCAACAGTTTCCTGCCTCATGGATTTTTATGGACAGTTTGTCTTTCATTCTATGTGCTTACCATCATGCTGAAAAAATAGTAATGAATGTTATGGTTTTTACAAGAAGAGGCATGACCATATGACCATAGGCACAGGATATCAAGGTCACTGTAAGCATAGAAAAATCATGAAGCAGGATAGAAGGCAGGGGATCAAGTGGGTTTCCAGTGTGCCACGATGACAGCAATGCTCTGCAAAGGACCTGATATATTCTGATATTGATGATGGTTCCAATATTAATTATTAATAAATATTTTCACTTTTACTTCCGATATGTATATGCTGCACAGCAGCTGTTGTTATTCAGCCTTTTTAATATGTTTCTTTCTGTTCTTCTTCTTGTTCATCGGCTGTTAACACTTGCAAATAATTATAGTTGTTCATCCACTTCTGAACTTCAGACTTTTTTCAGAAGCTGAGTTTTGCTCACACATTCATTTAACAGATCTGATTTATTTGTTTGCAGAGTGCTGGTTCCTTGCCTCTCACGGCGATATACTTTTACTTTGAGGAAAACCCCGAACTAGTTGACTCTTATGACATGCATGTTAGGGAATCTGTGGATGTATTCTTTTTCCCCCACAATGAGTACCTAGAAACCATATAGGGATTAATGTGTTTCACTTGTGATATTCTGTTTAAAGTAATTATTTCCTCTAGGTCCTCTAATTTTAAAGCCCTAAACACCCAATATGTAATTCCTTTAAGAGTTATTAATGTTGTGTAACAGACTTACGCATCCAGTTTCTCTGCTTGATTGTTTAGATCATCTGCATGGCGAAGAGCATCTTTAGCCAGTTGTCTCAGTCTAGGAAGAGCTCCTCGCAGGTTAGTCACCTTCCTTGCTAGTTCATCTAATGCCATGTCCAGTCCTTCATTATTTCCGATTGTTGCCTGAAATTAGTCAAGTTTAACTCATACACACAAAATTAACTGAATGAATAGTAATCAGTTTGGAAATTCAGCTAATTTTTGTAAACATTCTGTCTGTTTATTTACTAATATTAAATTACTACCTCAATTATTTGTTGTAGCTATATTCTTTAAATATTTCTCAACAATCGTTGGTACCTTTGACGTATAATATGTATATGTTGCACGGCAACTGAATTAGTATGGTCTGTTTTAATGTGTTAGACTTGGGGGAAAAAAACTGCATTATCACCCCTTGAGCCTCTGATGCTAAACCCCCTGGGACTCAAAGAGTTGAATTCAATGATTCGCTAAGTTTCTTTGTATGAATTCATCTAGATTATTTTTCTTTTTTTATCCAAAGCTGTATCCTTTTTTTTCCGGTTAAATGAATGTGTTTATCTATAAGAAGATTTTCAGTCAAACTGAAAACATTAGTGTTGGGTAAACAAGTTAACTATTTTGGGAAAGACCCATTCTTTGCACATGCATAATATTTTCATCACCAAGGAAATTTCTAATAGGGACCAATCAAATGTGGCCAAATAATAGAGCCAATGAAATTTAAATAGGGTCAATACATTCTAAGTTTTAAATCTAGCAGGCAACACCAGGTTTTGCTTTTGTACTTAAAAATCAGAACTGTGCTTGGAACTAGAGCTGTACCAAATATTCACTTCGTATTCGCTTCGGGGCCGAATAGTGAACCTATTGACTATTTGGTATTCGGCCGAATAGTTGCGGTTGGGCCGAATACGAAAAGTAGTTACCTTACACCCACTTCTGCATACATTGCCTTAATGCTGACAACATGGAACGATTGGTTTTGTTGAAAGCTAATGCAGCTTTCCTGCATTAACTAAGCTGTCATTGACAATTTCCAAGTTTAGTTACTTGTTATAATTCCTAGGATTCTTTCTTTCCCAGTTATTAGTTACCACAGACTGACTGAAGGATGGAAAACATAAAATGTTTTTAAATGTTTACCATTCTGTACGAATACTAACTAGACATGGAAAGAATACAAACTCCGGCCACATCCAATTCTTTAATATGAAAATCAAACGAACGAAAACATAAAAGTACTTGGGTGCAAACTTCAATTGCTCCAACATGCTGAGAGAAGAAATACAATCTAGAATACAATCTAGAAATAAAGTATACTATGCTCTTCAACATCTGCTAAAGTCAAAGTGTCTGTCTCGCAACACCAAGATCAAAATATATAAAACATTGATAAGACCAGTCGTTTTATATGGCTCTGAAAGTTGAAGCAGAAATAAAAGAGATGAGGCCTTTTTACAGGTTTTTGAAAACAGTCTTACGACAAATCTTTGGACCCATCAAAGATGCTAACAGCGGGAATGGGGAGTGAGAAACAACAACGTAACACATAATATTTTTAAATCACCATTGATCACTGGCATCATGAGAGCTAACAGACTAAAATAGTTAGGGCATATTGAAAGAATGTCAGATGACAGAGAAGTAAAAACTGTATACACCTGAGAGGAATTGGCATAGACCTCGAGGCAGACAAAAAAGAAGTTTGAGAGATAATGTTCAGCCAGACCTGCAAACAACTGGTGTCATAAATTGTGAAGAGAAGGCCAGTCAGAGAGATGAATGGAGATGAGTGATATCTGCAGCAGTAAACCTCAAGGGCTCAGAATACTAAAGAAGAAGATGACTATTCTTTGCTACTTTATGTGAAGTTAAAGTTCAGCGTACATGTGACATTGTGAATGTTTTTTTAAAGATATATTTTATACACTATACACTATTCGTATTCGTATTCGGCAGAATAGTTGGTCCCGTTATACAAAACAAAATCACTATTCGGTACAGCCCTAGTTTAAATTACATCGAACAGCCGAGTGAACGATGGTTTTGACAGAGGTGGGAGTGGTGACCACTGGAAAGAACTGTGGATGGAGGGATAGAGAAGACAACGATAGAAGATTCTTGAGTCTTTTTACATGGCATGAAGGTGTGTCAGCACACGAACTAATTCATGCTGCAGGAGATCACAGATTGTGGCGGGGCATAATCGCCCACGCCAGTCGGAAAGGCACCTGATGATGATGATATACTATTCGTATTCGTATTCGGCCAAATAGTTGGTCGCACTATTCGTATTCGGCCGAATAGTGAAAATCATTATTCAGTACAGCCCTTCTTGGAACAGCTTCTACAATGACATAAAACATGTCCTATTATAATAATTGGAAACAGCTGTCAGACATTGCTGTATTGATATAAAATTTATTTCTTCTTACAAATAGTAATGATATGGGGTCTTTATTATAAACTTTTAAATTCTTAGCTGCTTACAAATGACATAAATCTGTGCAAGCAATTCCATAAATATTGAACTTTACAAACACGCACACTATGAAAAATTGATATTTTTGTCATAAACTTTTTTTAATGCAATATCGTGCTCCCTTAACTCTTTGAATACCAGTGAGTTTTACATGAGATGCAAATACGTACAAATTAACATAAGGAAAGAATTTAAATACTAAGGAAGGCATAGTTATTTAATATGTTCTAATCAAATGCATACATTTCTAGAACAAATTTAATTTTGGTAGGATTCATATAAAAGCTAATCACACAATATACATGGTTTGGAACTGAAAGAGTTAAGCACTGATATTAATGTAAAGTGATTACATACTGCAAGATTCATATCTGCCCTAGTTAGGAGATCTCTAGCTTCATTCAGAGTATCCTCTGAGCTTTCATGTAGCTTTTTAATTTCATTCTTGATTTCTGTCAGTTTTCTCAGTAGGTCCTGTTTAAAGTAAGAATTCACAATTATTAAAATTTACTAAAAGTATGCATGCACATTTGTTTTATAAACATTAGGACAGGGAATGAGATAACTCTTAAATGATTCAATAGCATAAAACACTTCTTATCAAATACTACATCACAAATCATTTTGGTTAAATAAAGCATATATATTCTTCCTCAAGTCCACATATTATTTTTTTTTTTAATATTGTTGCCTAAAATGAAGGTAAAACTGTTATTTTTATCTTTATAAATATGTTGCCTTCATAAATAAGAATGAGGCATAGTCTTCTTCCTTAGATCTTGCAACAGACCATAGGTCCCCAGTTAACCTACTTAAGTCACACTCAGAACAATAAGATGAATGTCTGGTTTAACATTTCATAAAGTTGAGTCAAACTGGCATAGGCCAAACATAACATGTCTACCAATGATAGCACATTCACTGCATGACAAGCTGATAAATGATCCCTGTTGAGGAATGTTAAAGATGGCACAAACATAAGATATCTGCAAGCAGGTGACCTTAGCCAAGAAGATACACAGGTCAGGAATGGATCAACAGTGACACAAAAACACAAGGAACATTCATCAAGCCATCATTACATTGGGAAAAGCGTTTTGTAATTTTCTAGTAGAACTGAAAATAGGACAACTGAATGAAAATGCTGGGAAAGATGATAAAAATGTTTACACTGATTGTTCTGCACTTTGTGACAAAAATCTGACAGGAGTTTTTCAGCATTAGTGGAGTGAAATGTTGTGGCAGAACAAGGAGCTGGCAAAAATCCAGGCAACTTTAAGGTGGAAAGCTGAAAACACTGCAACCAGAATAATAATAGTGTTTGATTCTTAGCTTTTATTGTATACAGGTCAAAAAATGAATTCTGGAGGAAATGTCCCTCTGGACTTTTATTTCAAAAATGACATTGGCTCTCAGGCTGACCAAGCCTTGAGTGGGTGCCAGGATTGGCTCTCAGGCTGACCCAGCCTTGAGTGGGTGCCAGGATTGGCTCTCAGGCTGACCCAGCCTTGAGTGGGTACCAGGATTGGCTCTCAGGCTGACCCAGCCTTGAATGGGTGCCAGGATTGGCTCTCAGGTTGACCCAGTCTTGAGTGGGTGCCAGGATTGGCTCTCAGGCTGACCCAGCCTTGAGTGGGTGCCAGGATTGGCTCTCAGGCTGACCCAGCCTTGAGTGGGTGCCAGGATTGGCTCTCAGGCTGACCCAGCCTTGAGTGGGTGCCACGTACAGTCACAGGAAGTAATGGCAGTCTGCATGATGCTGACCATATCACCCACCCAGTGCCGACAGGTCTATAGAATATAGGTTTAGCTTTATATGCCCAGTATGCCTCAAGGCATACTTTTACTGTTTTAGTCACGATTATAATTGAAGAGAGGATTACCTTTAACTGCCTTATCTTTTCAAGAGCCTCAGCTGCAGTATCACTTGCTTTCCCAGTTTGATTTACAAGATCTTGTAATCGTCTCTTCATTTCATCAAGTTTGCTTTCTATATTTGTGCTATTTATATTTGCCAGCTCAAGTTCACGAGTTCTTTCTGACAGCAACTCTGCTAATCTAAAATATTGTAAAATATAAAATTAAATATTGTTAAATGCCATTATTGAAATGCTTGCTTTCTTTAGCCCTGTTTGACAAAATGGACATACTGTACACATGGTGGATACAATAAGGAAAATATGAAGATGAAAATATAATTGTAATTTTCAGAGCTACATGGAAAATAATTGTTCCAGCCTAAAAAATCATACTGTCTTAAAACTTTCAGTACTGACCAGGTTTTATTTTAGTTAATTCTAACTAAACAAATTGATAGTTCAACTGAAAAATGTTTGAATCTGAGGGGTTAAAATAATAACATGTTTGAATCTGAGGGGTTAAAATAATAACACAATGAGAGGTAAGAATATAAGTTTAATGTAACAACTAGAAAATGTTAAAAAATAAAATCTTTGAACATTGCATTTACTATACAAGGTATATTCTAGAAGGGGAGAAGTATGTAGAGTACAAGGTGGACCAAGAACAAGTTTAAATGATAACATCAGAGAAAATCTCAAAGAGCATAATGTGTTTATGGTTGAGGCAGCCTGAAGAGCAAGAAGTGAAACCTTATATTTCTACAGGCACCAACATATATATTACTGCTTCTATCATATTAGAGTCAGTTTACTTTTTCTGCAAACAATGTGTTTACAGACATTCTCTTTCACTGAAATAATACTTTTTCAAATCACGCATTAACTGTTTGAATGTTTTTGTTTTGTATGTTGTCTCAAAAGATGCATTTAACTTTATGTATCTATTTCACCAGTTATTTGTTGTGACCCCAAAAAATCCCCAACAAATTAAATAAAAATGTGACAAACCTGTTCTCCAGTTTTGCAGCCTGGTCTGCAGCAGAAAAGTTCCTGGAAATAATCTGGTCCAACATTTTTTTGGCATTCTCCAGGGCAGATGTCATATTTATCCCACTCTGATTGTAGATGAGTCTTTCAACAAGGTCATCTAGCCCCTCGACTAAATCTGTAGGAAACAATTATGTTATTACTTTCGTATTACATCTCATGTAACACTTTTATCTCCAGTTAAAGACATTACAGGCACCATGAAGATCTACTCAACATAACAAGCAGACCAATGCAAACCCAAACAGCATTTTGTTAATTACGAAAAACTAATCAAAATTTTATTTTCAGGAGAGATGGACAAACATATATTGTGTATATTTTTTTAGACAAAGAGAGAGAAAGAACAGAGGGTTTTATTAACATTAAATATAAAGAGTTAAGCTAAGCCACAAATAAAAAAAACGAAAATACTTCCTTTCGTTAATTCTACTTTTTCAAAACAGGTTCATTTAAATTCATTTTCCCAGCAAATTAAACAGTATTAGAGTTTATGTTGAGAATCGAATATCGGCAATATGTCTAAACATTACAGATTCTCACGTCGAATTTCAGAAATATTTTCTGAACAAGTTAAAGTCTATGCCCTGTGGCATTGGTAGTCATATTTATCCACAACCTTCTGTCTTATGTACTGTCAATCAACTCTGACACAGATGATCCTCCATGCCATGATGTCAAAGAGTCCAGCATCTTCTCTCTCAGTCTCCCTCTCTGCATCTTTTCCCTTTAACTTTACTACTGTCATGATGTACTCCAGTTTTCTCCTTCTCATTACATGACCAAAGAATGTAGATTGTCTCTTTCTGATGTGGGCAATCAGTTCTTTTCATGAGTTAGTTTCTTTCAATACAGTTGTGTAATTTTTTTTATAAGTTCAGGGTATTCTCAACATTCATTTAAAAAAACCACATCTCCGTAGCTCCCGTAGCTTACAAATAATTTTTTATTTATCTACTAAATGTCCACATTCACTTCCATTTATCAGGATAGGTTTTATATAGCTTTTAAGAATTTACTTTCTCACCTGAACTGACAAATAAAGAATCCATAGAATATTTTTCGTTTTCATTGATTAATACATTATCCATCTAATGTTATCAGGGTACCCAAGTACCTAAATATATCTTGCTTGACTACTGTCCCATTTACTTTAATGTTGCATTTTGGAGGGTCCATCCCCCCCCCCCCCCCCCCCCCCCCAGACTTAAACCCTTGAAATATACTGAAATAAAAAAAGGCAGATATAAACACAAATAAATGGCAGATTACACTGATTTTCTTCTAGGAGAGGCTGTAACATTACTAAGTGAAATGTCATGATATGGAAAAAGTAAAGTGCAAAGAGCTACATGAAAATCTCTATAGAGGCATGCTTGATATACTTCAACTCTACCAGACCACTGTACTGCTTTTCTAGGAATTTCCTAAACCGCTGTACCTAATTTTCAGTACTTTGCGTACTAAGTGAACAAAAAAATGTGCCACAAACTAAAAATAACCAACCAATCATGGTCAAACCTCATGGCAGTCATTGCAAATGGCTGCCACTATGTGTTTTGATTTATACAGGGTGTGGTGCAACGTTTAAAAAATTTCTGAAAATTCACAATGAAGAGGCTGATGAGCACTTAAACAGGAAAGCTAAGTAGCTCTAGGCTGTTCACAGATCAATACTTTGGTTGGTTCAGTCTCTGAAGAGTCACAATGTCAACAAGAATACTTTTCCAGTTCAAGTGACACAGACTGTGAAAGCTCAAGGGATAAGGAGAATCTTGAACTTTATAGAACTAGACCTAGATCGATAGTAAGAGAAGAGGGAGGGGGAATGTGTCCCTTAACTCTTTGAGTCCCAAGGAACGCATCATACGTTTTTAGGTTCCTACCTAAAAGCCCAATGAACACATGATGCGCCGATTTATTACTTTCTTTACTACCCCCTGGGCCTGTAATGCTAAACCCCCTGGGACTCAAAGAGTTAAACAGCTCATGGGGGAGATCTAGGTGGTGATTAAGATTTGACAAGGAATTTTGTACCACTAAATATAGATCTGAATTTCAATGATTAAAGATAAGGTAAACTTATCTTCTATAATGTCTCTATGTTTCATCTTATTCTAACCTCTTGTTTGCATGTAACTAATATTTGTGTATATCATGTTGGTTTTTTTTCTTTAATGCCCAAGAGCCCAGGTATAGGGGACAGTTATGTTTAGAGCCTCAGGTCAAGTAGAGTTAAACCAGATGTGGGCAATGTTTTGCTACCATAAAAGATGCTGTCAGGAAGTACTGTTACTATAGTATTATCAATAAATTGTTAAAGACAATAATCAGAAGTCTAGATCAATTAAATGTGCTAATAAAACGCCGACGACATAGCACTCCTGAGTTCAGAACACACAGACGCCCAAGAAAAAATCAATCGACTCCAGAAATTCTCAGAACAAATTGGACTCCAAATTAACACCGCAAAAACAAAAAATCTAGACTTTACCAACAGTTCAGTTGATATCACGCTGAACAACAACAGCCTTGAAAAAGTCAACAGTTTCACTTATCTAGGGAGCAAGATGTCATCTACAGGAGATAGCGCACCAGAAATACCATTTAGAATAGCACTGGCATCTAGTGCCTTCAATAAACTGTTTAACATCTGGAAATCAAAGACACTTAGCAAACACACAAAACTCAAGATCTTCAATTCTTGTGTGATTCCAGTACTAACCTATGGATGCGAGAGCTGGAAATCAACGAAAACTCTAGACACAAAACTAGACAGTTTTGAAAATAAATGCCTTAGAAGAATACTAAATTTCAAATGGTCAGATTTCTGAACAAATACACAAATAAGGCAAGAATCCAGGCAAGAGTATGTTTCTAATTTTATATGAAAACGCCGCTGGAACTATGTCGGCCACGCCCTTAGAATGGATAAATCAAGACTTCCTTACCAAGCCCTCATTTGGACACCACAGGGGAAAAGATCTCGTGGAAGACCAAGGGAAACCCTACGTAGAACTATCATCAGGGAAGGCTCGCTCATGGGCCACTCAAACATCCAAGACCTACAACGGATTGCAACGAACCGCCATGCATGGAGAGTCATGACCTCTGCCCTATGTGCCGCACTCGACACAAGAGGAAAGACTAACTAACTAACTAATAAAACGAATGGAGAAACTATAAACCCCACAAAATATGAATCAAACACAAGAATAAACTTACTTTTAATGTCATCAAATGTTTCTCGCACAATTTTCTCCAGCTCTGTAGAATTCTTCAGTAACTCTACTGTACTCTCCTTTGTCTTACATGCTTCAGTTCCTGTTGTGTTCAGCTGTTGGATTTACAGATGACGCACAATTTTGACAAAGTGGAATTATTTCAACACTGCTGTACGTAATATTTAATTGCAGTAAGTGCACCAAACATTCATTTTTATTGGAAAAATATTTGTATCTACAACATACACATTTTTAGTTGCTTTTATCAATGGAAATTTTGTAAAACATACAGTAAAATTTCTTTTCAAAAGTAAAATCACAAACAAAATTTAAAATTAAAAAGCTACAAGAACTGGCTGTAAAAAAGCAAAGAATGCTAAAAAAAAAAAAAAAAAAAAACCAATGAATTAAATTTCTGATGAACTAAACAAAGTGTAAGCACTGATTATTCTAGGAAAAAAATTCCTGGGTTTAAATTTTATTAATAGTTCCAGTAAAAAGGCTTATACGAGATGAAATGAAATTTGAAGATAACATATGAAGAGAGCTAATTAATGATGGAAATTTGATAAAAAATTTGTTAGTTACAATGTTACAAAGAAATAAATAACTACAGACAAAACAGACGGCTTCCTTTTTTGTGTTATGTTGTTGCCATGCATTCTTGGTTTGGTTAAAAATTTATTTAAAAAAAAGTTGAAAAAATATTAATTTACAATCATGAAGTCTAACAATTTACACTTGCTTAAATGGTTACTGTTAAAGCTGAGTTGTTGAATCTTTACTATCCTATCAATGTGGTCTTGGAACAGTCAGATTTTGGTTAGATATGACTGAGCTACCACACTTTAAACAGGAATCAAATTAAAACACTGGAAAGCACTTTGTGGAAGTCATCGATATGGTCGACAGAGACTTTTATAGCTGCAAACATCCTTGTAAAACATACAAAACAAAACCTAAGCCATCAGTCCTTGCAAAGAAACTGTCACTGTTCATTCATATCTCTCACTCCCTCATTTTCTGCCCTGTTTAGCACTGATGTTCAAATGTCCACTGGTGTGCAAACATGCATCTTTTAAAATGCTTAAAATCAGTTGTACACCTATAACTGTGTCCATGACAGTACTATCTGTTCCCTGTTAATGCTGAATTTTGGGTGGCTTTTACCAAACCTGACATCCCATATCTTCTTCTGTCATCTGCTATGTTCATCGAAAGGTGTAATTGTGTTGTGTCCGTTTACGGTATGGTTGTAATATTTGCATCATTTGGCCATCATATTTAATTTCTGCAGGCATTTGTTGACCAGGTTAGCCTTTCCGGTGACATCCCATATTCTCTCCCTGGCTTTGGTTGGAGCAGCGCAATAGAGAGCCTTATTCTAGGAAGAGGAAACATAACTTGAAAATTTTATATTAAAGCAAGTCAGACCAGGCCATTAGCCTTGGTTGGCAACTGGTCTAGGAGGGAAGCTCCAATGTGCAGACATGCACTGCTCTTCTGATCTGGCAGCTTTTGTTCCAAACCTATTGGTGTTACCTTCCTTTTCTTTCATACATGAATTAACTTCACACATGATTAAAAAAAAAGATTATTTTAGCAGATTTATTATGAAAATAAAAATCCATATGTATAACAAACATGTAAATAATAGAATAATGAAGTAACAGACATAACGGACATGCTTAAAAATTGCACAACATTATTTTCCCTACAATATTTTCCCTACTAAACAAAAGGTTAGAATAGATGCCGAGACATCAGACTTGTTTGACATCAAGTCTGTTAGAGCTGTGTGCTGTCACCCTATTTGTATAACCTGTAAGCCGAAAATATAATGAGAAATGAGATGATAAAACCAGAGAGAAGTATGATGCCCTAAACATCGATG